GACAAGGTGAATCAATTTGTTTCAAGCTTCCAAAGTAATAGGACGCCTAAGAACATTATTAAGAAAGAATATGACAGTCCTAAGGTAGAACAAGTATGTTGCCTTCGATGAAACTAGATAGCAAGAAAGGATAAATGTAGTAAACTTGACAAGTAGGAACTTGCAGCAAGAATATCAACTTCCAAGCTATATGATTGCACTTGAATGGCACACAGATCTTCACCATTCTCAGAATCTCATTGGTCTTCATCTTCATTATAAAAGGTATGGTACAAAAGAAGATACAAGAGTCATATAATAGGATTTGATAGTAAACCAGATCTATGGTCTTAAAATCTAAGATAATACCTAATTATGTTTTCACTTTCAACTAGATATAACTCCCAAAACAAGAGCAGCCAAAAGCTAGTAATGACAACCAAAATGTCATTTCGATGTCTGAAATGTGTTGCAGGGTTATGACTCAAGTGATGCAAAATTTCCGATAAAATATCAGAAATTATTGTTGGGCAAAAGCATGAAACCATGTTACTAAACATGCTAATTAAACTTGATAAACCTCATTTCAGACAAAGGATTAAGATGCTTCTCTTTCCACAAATTCAGTTATGTATAATGAGAAGTTGGGATAATGATCTCTTCCCATGAGCTACTAATGGTTTCGCAGGGAATGAAAAAGAGAAAACACAGGTGAATTTAAGTTCAAGTTATTCAAGCTATCAGTGCAAGCTTTGAGTGAGTTTTAAGGTAGATGTAAAATTTACAGCCATGATACTGCAATCTTATGTTATAAATATTAGATACGCTCCTGGTAATGAAATATGATAGCACACAATGTTCGTAATAGTGTAGAAACAAGGAACCATACCATGAAATGCATGATCAATGGCCTAGTGTTATCATAATTTTCCTGCTACAGTACCAATGGAAAAAAGGGGAACTGAGTGGGAACCAAAGAATTATATTTCAAAAATCTTAAGGCACGACAACAGTACGTAAATCCTCAGTCCAACTCGTATCATGAAATTAGGGTACTCAGTAACTGACAAGTTAACATCACCATACAATGAAAACTAGTTATGTTCAAGTAAAACAAAAAAAATCCTTAAACCAATGCTTCGAGCCAAGTAAAAGCCCAACAATTGAACCTTTAAAGTAGGTAACAGCTTCAAAACCTAAGAAGTCCTTCGTTCTCGGGTGATATGATGCAGGCTGAAAAGATTTAGATACTACAGATAACATAGTAAATTCTAAGTGGTACTCTGGATGCATGAAAAATAACATACAAACACTCAAAAGTTCCAAATAATTACTGAATAGCAAAAGATGGAGAGTATCAAGAGAACCTAATAAATTAACAAGGGGAAAACTACTATACCAAGCCTAAACCTCATCAGTTGAGGGGATTAATGCAATTAAGCATGGTGTAGCTTGACAGGAACCAAGAGAAAGCCACTTGAAAGAAGAGTTTCCACAGATCAATTTTATTTGTAAAAGTTTTAAGTATAGTATTCCTGATTTATTTGGTACAATTTCCCAAACAACAAATTAATGGTCAATATTTCAAGTTGAGAATTTCTATCTAGCTATTCCTGTCATACTTTATATTTTACTGTGCTAATGCCACTGTGTTCCTTAAACTACTGTACCAAGCCACCACTGTTAGCTTGATTATTACTACAGTAATTCAAGTATTTCATGCTCATCAACAAATTCCAAGTTTGACTCTGTTCATTGCTATTAGCAAGAGTTGACAACTCAGTTGAGCGAGTGGAGAAGTTGCATGAGGCCACAGAAGGTCTAGAATCACAAACACAAGTACAATGCATGCATCATATGAGATGAGATGCTTAAGATCTAATATATACCAACTCTGCCCTTCTCAGATTCACCTTGTGTACAAGGTCATGCATCCAAGTTGATCTAATGTGTGAGATATGTCAAGGAATCTCAAATTTTAATATTCGAATAGGTCAATTTGCTTTCACTTTAACTTCTACACTTGCACTTGAACTTGGGTCATGATGCTGAAGTGGCAGATCAAATTCCCTGCTTCGTTGAATCACTTAGTATCTACAATAACACCAACTCCCATGTAATCATTGTGGTAGGGAATGACTTAACAATTCTCATTTTAGAAGCTCACTTTAGAAGCATATGAGAATATTCAAACATCTGGATATGCAGTTCATCAACCATCCATAACCTGGCTATCCTGCAAAGGATTAACAGTTTCCTATTGTAGATCACTTTGCCTAGTGAGCTTGGTGTTTATGAAGTTGGGTGTTGTTCCAGAATCAAGTAGTGCAACAAGGAAGTCATCCTCAAATTCATTGTTAATTGCATGGTGGCAGGCAGATGTTAGTCTGAATCTTACATAAACCATGATTCCTTGCAAACGTCATTCATCATGGTGTTATCCAAGTCATCGGACTTTGATGCAGTAAGCATCTTAATATTCCTCGGCTTCATAGAAGCTGTTGATGCGGCCTTCTATTGGAGCTTGAACCTTGCTAACAAGAGAAGTGGTTAGAGCCGCAGATTCTACAAGTGTGATCATGATCAGTTAGTCACAATCAGTTTCAATTAATTCCTAAAGTCAAGCAGTCCCTGCAACCGCATTAAATAGAAAGCAGCTTCTCAACAACCCAAGACATTGAATGAATCAAGCAGAGTAGTGGGATTCAACATAAACAACTTAGTTTCACACAATTGCTTTGCTCAATCAGATTATCATGAAAAAGATCAGGGTGACTGTCAGCTCCAAGGAAATATTTTTGGTAGTCATCCATAGATCTTTGTCACCACAGCATCTGAAGCACCACTACATATTTAGTCATCCTCAATGGTTTGAATCAGATTCTACAAGTGTGGTCATGATCAGTTAGTCACAATCAACTTCAATTAATTCCTAAAGTCAAGCAGTCCCTGCAACTGCATTAAATAGAAAGCAGCTTCTCAACAACCCAAGACATTGAATGAATCAAGCAGAGTAGTGGGATTCAACATAAACAACTTAGTTTCACACAATTGCTTTGCTCAATCAGATTATCATGAAAAAGATCAGGGTGACAGTCAGCTCCAAGGAAATATTTTTGGTAGTCATCCATAGATCTTTGTCACCACAGCATCCGAAGCACCACCACGTATTTAGTCATCCTCAATGGTTTGAATCGGATCATTAGGGTCCTAAAGGAACTCTTCCCAATGGATCTCTCAATTCAGTTGCTCATTGGATCATTATAAGACCAGGATTCGAGTTTGAGTCACAAAAACAATATCTTTCAATATTTAAAGGTAATGTCGTGTACATTGACCCTCCGCATTGGTGGGAGCCTCTCGTGCACAGAGTATATCTTTATGTGAGGTAGAAAACCACTAGTGCCACATCCTCAGACGTTGTCACATCATCAAAGAATTGCTAAAATCTAAAATGCTTGTTCATAAAGTCAACATTTCTAGAGTTAGGAAGTTGATCTTGTCCAGTCTATAGTGATGACAACATGAAATTGTGGAACTTATCATGGCATGTCACTGCTCCTTATGGAAACTATGGTAACTACAGGCACTTCTTAATGAGATGGCATCAAAGCTTGTTAACTGAATTGTCATTAGATCTCTAACCCCAAAGATTATCTGGTTCAATTATGCCTCTTAAGTGGATTTGAGTTACCAGAAAAATGTATATAACCATCGACAGCTATTTGAACTGAAGTTTATATCAAAAAAATCAGGCAATCAGCATAATAGGTATAGGAAGGGTCAGGTCATCCTTGGTAGTGATTCAACAAGGACTTCTGACAGCCCTCTAGGATTTGCTCTAATGTGTTGTTGGGACAGTGATATAACCTATTGTTTAGCTGGCTCTTGTAGTGGCCAAGTTGATACAAAAGACCTAATGGGCTTCAATAAAAATTGAGCATGGAACAATACAGACAAAGTCATCTCATCTTGGGGGTTGATCATATGGTTTGTTCCTATTAAAGCTACATTACGGTAACTGATTTGCTTTCCTTTTCTCATCCTGACTTGAACTATGTGAACTTGGTTGGCCCTTGGATATTCTTGACCAATGTGTAAGTAACACATCACCAAACATATTCAGAAGATATTGCAGTAGTCATCCTCAAAACGCTTCTCTAATCCATCCATGTGCTTGTCAAGATTCTTAAAATTTCACGTGTCATCTTTTACTTGATCATCACATCTCAAAGGGTTAATACTTGCTTGTATATGCATGCCTCAACCAAGAAATGATCTAAAATCATTATTGCCATTGGTCTTTCTCTAGGTATAATCTCTATTATGTGTTGCTCTACTTCGAGGAAGAGAAGTAGCCCCGGATGAGATTGATTTCAACAAAGTTAACTTATTGTGGGAACAGCAAAAAATAAGACAGTTCTTCATAGCAGAAGTGGCTTATAAGTCCTTTTATAGGCTAAAAATGCAATTATCCAAAGTATACTAGAATATACAGTTCTTTAATAGCTTTTGTATTTCTAGTTGCTTTCTCTTTTTCTCTTTGCCTGAGAGTGAATGAAGCTAACTGATACATTGTGCAGCATGCTTAACTGAGGAAGCTCCATAGTTCAAACAATATTCAAAGTCAGAGCCAAGAAGGTAAAGCTTGAAACAGTTTTTTGATCTGAAAGTTAAAAAACTAGATGATTTGCACCAAAATGCAATCAATTTATACACACTTAAGATACTCGAGCAACTACAGAACTGATAAGATCATGCACATTTATAGCATGCCAAAGTAAGAGACCCCTGAAAGTTTCCACAAGAAAATTAGTCATAGTTATAAATTAAAAACAAACTAAAGACATAAAACAAAGAACAGTTACAGTTCACAGATCCCTGTCAAAATGTGAAGTAAACAAATTTATCTGTTATATTGTAATAATATGACAGGGGTTCAAAGGTTTCATCCATAAACGCCGACCAACAAACCATTAAAGAATATTCAGCAAAAAGGTTTGAAACATATCAGGACTCAATAAAATTAACCAAGGCTTTTTAGCAACAGTTCAAAAAGACATCTAGTTAGACAGTAAATTTCTCATTAGAACCACATGTGAATGAGAAAAAGGGAAAACACCAAGACTTCTGCCTAACTGAACATCTGAATCTCCAAAAGGATGTAAACTAGGCTAAGTAAGAAGTATCAGTCTACAGACTATCTAAAGGGCCTCTGCAGAAGACAACATGTTTATATACATGTAAGAGCAGACAAAATGCAGAGCCCAAGTTCCTACATAATTAACGAAATTGTACAGCTTTACCTGATTGTCACAAACTTATTGGTGCCATGTTTGGCCCAGTAAGGCCTTAAATCAATTGGATTTGACAAATTATATCCTTCTCCAGCAAGCTTCTCTAATACCTTCTTAAATGCACCTTGGCTCATCTTCCGTCCACAAATCCGAGCTCCTCGCCTCTTTGTGCTCATTGGGAGTGGGTACATTGAAATGCTAGTAGTACAGCAGGCGGATTGCCACCCTCCAACTCCCCAGCGATAGCATTGCCGTAGAGTGCCCGTGCAAGAGCACACTGGTGTCGGTATCCTCGAAATGTCCAGGTCAAACCCATTTATGACAATATCAGTGTTCTTCTTAATGGCCCTCCCTCGACCACCAGAACGACCATTAGTTTCATCTTTTGGTGTAGGAACCTTCTTTGGCTTCTTAGGCTTTGATGGCTTACAGGGGCGAGCTTGCGCCTGGGACCTCTTCTTCAAAGGTGCCTCCTTTGCAGTCACTGTCTCATTTTCCATCGCTGGTACTTTTTCATCCTCCGGTGGAGGCACCATTTGCTGCATCATTGAGGGCGCATGGACTCCATGAGCATCAGGAAGGACCGAGTATCCATGGTTCAAGGGCAGCATGTGTACCATCTTGTTATCTCTATAGTTAATCCAACCATTGCGCATAAAACCCATCGGAACCGAAGGCTCAGCTACATCACAGTCACGGCGGAGGAAGCCCCCGTTTGAAAGCAGCGGTTTTGTGGATTCACGCTCGGCTGCTACCGGGGACATAAGCTGCAGCCCCAAGTTTCCCTTTAGGGTCTGCTCATAGTAGGCCCAATTCCGCATCCCCATTCCCCCATCACCATCCATAAAGGCAGATATATGTTGAACAGACAAGACTACAAGAGAAAGGGGCCTCAAAAAGTAATCTTTCAAACGAACCCGATCAACCCATCTACTGCATTGCTTCCATCTGGCCAAAACTAGGGAACCCACAACATCAAAAGAACAAAATCTTAGAGATATCACGCTAAATCAAGGGAAAATAGGACAAATCTAACGGAAAAAGGCCGCATCTTGAAACAAACCCTAAATCCGATCAGTCCGGGTGCTTTCTTCTGGCCAAAGCAAGGAACCTACAATACCAAAGGAGCAAAAGCTTAGACACACTACACCAACTCAAGGGATGCGGACAAATCTAACAAAAAGAAAGAATCTTGAAACAAAAAAACATAACTCCAAAAACAATGAGATGCTATTACATGAACACCAGAAAAAGGAAAACAAAAACCCTAAAAGCCTTGCATCTCCAAAGTTTTACCAGATGAGAACACTTAAATACAAAAACGGACGGCAAGAACGAGAATACAAATAAGGAAAAAGTATTTGTCACAGAATAAAAGAGCATAGACTGAGACCTGATTATGAGAAAACAAGAATAAATCCATAAAAACGACAATGGCAACAAGTAGAGGAAGATAAGAACAAAGGGGAGTCCTTACTCCGGGGAGAGCTGTGTTTTAGGGTTCCTCACCCAGGTATGAGAGAGAGAAGGAAAAGAACATTAAGATCTATGCTATTTATAATGGTAAAGATGATGGTTTCAAATCTGCAAAATGATATACTTTATGGGAAGCAATTTTAATTTGGCGTGACAACAAGTTGTTTTTGAACCAACACAGAAATCCAGGAAAGGGGGTAAGGAGGTGGTGAGTCAATAACTAAAATAAAAACAAATTCGCCAACAATTGCATGCTTATCCATTGCTTTGAATCTGAGACACGCTTCTCTTATTTTAGTCTCTCTTCTTTTGGTTTGACTTCGTGAGAGGTGGCGACACGAACGAATTGGTCTTTGGGTTCGGCGTGGTTTGGGTCGATAGCACCACCATTCGGTTCTTCAAGTTGCAGCTTCCGTGTGACCAGCGGCAACGTGGCGTTCTTTTTTTGTCCCTTGCAATCGACAGGGTTTAATCTAATCATTTAAGCTAAGTGAATTTTGATTGAATCTGTGTGTTCTATCATCATAATTGACTTGTAATTTAAATTGTGGATCGATTCATACAAATCATGAGATGAAAATTTGAAAGTAGTAGAACAAAAATAAAATTGGTTCAAACTAAATATTATTTTTGTACTTGTAATCCTAGAATTCATTTCTCACTTAGAGAATAAATTAGCTGCCATTAGAGGTATAATTATTCCTACACCAAAAATTAGTCTTCATTTATATGAACCCTATTATTAAATAGGATTCTCATGATATTATCGAATACTTAGATGCCCTATTTAATCATTGATGAGTTTTGAGTAGGTTTATGGCTCAGATATAAAATAGGAGATATTGACCTTTTATCAGTGATATCAATAAGGGGATTCATAGATCTGCACTAAAAATCAGGAATTTGTCATCATCCTCTGTCAGAGAGCCACTTTTTTCTGTCATCACCTGAAGACCATAAAGTTGAAATTTTCAACTACAGTTTAAAACTTTCAAATTGATTCACACATAGATTTTTTATAAAAATGAGATCTCATTTTTGATATAATTTTGAGGTTTTTTTGCATGCTAGATTTGCAGTTTGATGAAATATGAAGCATACAGGTTAAGGTCCTTTTGACTCCTTTCAAGTGTTGCCCTCATACAAGACAGTGTTGCTGGTTGATGCCTTTTGGGAAACACCTCTACAGCCTTAAATGTAGTACAATGCGACGTACTTGAGATGCTGTTGAGATATTGTTGTGTTCCTTTATCCTTCATCAAAGCTACTGACCAAAGATGTTCTTAGAGCCATTCTCTGCTCATCCTCTTTCATCATTGTGATGTTGCTTTATTGCTTTAGCTGTTGTGGAATCTCTTTCACCTGCATATTCTTGTTCTTTGCTGCTGGAGTTCTGCCAGAAAGTATACTCCTTTATTCAAGCCTTTACATTTTTCAAGTTCCTATACATCCAAACACTGAACCTCTATCCAATGAAATAAAAGAATATAATTTGGTTCCTGAATAGATCAATGATAACCTATGGAAGGTGTAATCTTTAAATTTGCTAGTTAACACATTTATTATGACAAAAATGATCTTTATATGAATAAACCAAATGAAAATTTCTGGATATGGACCCCCTATCCCAATGGTATTGCTGTCTACTGATAGAGCATGTTTCAGTATCATATTGGACTCACTATAATAAACAATGAAATAAAAGAATATGTATTGGTTCTTGAATAAATCAATGATAACCAATGGGAGTTGTAACCTTTAAAAATGCTATTTAATCCACTTATTATAACAAATAATCTTTATATGAATACACCAAATGAAAATATGTGAATATTCCTGACACCTAATTGAGCATTTGTGAGTATCATATTATAGACTTGGACTTGGAATAATACATTTTAATATTTTCCTTCAAAGCTCTTTGATGAAATTTGAAAAAAAAAACCTCAAAATCTGATAATTTCTCAAATTACACCCTAAGTACACTGCTTCTACGATCCAAGAACTAACAATATCAACAAGAGTGAAATCAATAAATAGCCAATTCCACATCAAACACACTGCCCTTAAGACTAAATAATGGGCTTACACCTTGCTTGAACATGTTTGTGCTTGTAAATTCTTGCACTTGATGTCCGCTACTAATTGCTTCACCAGAATTTTCACAAGACCTGCAAAGAAAGTGGACTATCTTTTGTCTTTGTGAAATAAAACTACTTCAATCTTAAATCAAGCACAGGTTAGCAGGAAAGAATGATTTTGTCAGATAAATTAGAAAAAAAAAAAAAAACAGACTTTGAGATGGCATAAGATGTGGAGCATCTGAATGCATAAGCCATACGATACGAATGGCAAATGCCAGAATCTCAACCCGCCCTCGTTCTTGGCAACGTACAGCGCTGACGACGCTATAGGAAGAAGCGCATCAGAGACTCTAATTTATTGCCTTCTTTTCACTCTCCAATCCAAACAAATCAAGCAAAAACCATCATAAAAAAAATCGTTCTTTGTGATTCTCAGACGAACAGAAAACGAAAGTCAACAAGAACATGGAGTGGCTGGCTCAGAGGCTAATACAAGATTATCGACACCTCTTTCTTCAGAGTTTGATGGTATGTCTTTGCCAGTTCATCATCGCCCAAAGGCCACCATTTTTGACATGACGTGCAGAGATTAAAGAAGAGGAAGATCGAAGAGAAAAGCAAATCAGAAGGCCTCAAAACCAAGAGGCGCCAAGATCACATCACAGAGAGAAAGCCATATTACCCGATCTCGCCACCCATCAGGCGATTGAAGTAAGCGCAATGCAGTAGGGGGCCAGAGTTGGACAGGATACAAGGGAGGGTTCCAGAGAAGAGAAGAGCGGAGGCAACGAAGGGAGAACGGAGACGGAGATGGTTTTCGATGATGATTTCCACCTTTGTCTATTATAGGGAGATCGGACGACTCGGAGAAACCCTAGCTACAATGTAATGACTTAAATACCCTGCATAGGGAATTTGTATTCAAATATCATAGCCCCCGCGACATACATCAAAAGTATTATGACATCTAATGTGTTTTAATAAGATATAAACATCAAATCGATTGATATCCCTAATTAGGCAAAGTAATACTTATCTTCTTACTCACAATGCATCATGAATCATATTCTCTTAAGAAAAGATTTATTTCTACTTTCAATACGACAATTGATAGGGGAAATAATGGCCGGATGACGTGCCATGACGACGGCCCCACCTGGACATCGGACGGTCCGAGTCTGAAGACAATAATGCCGACTAGACCCGTGCTGACAACTCCTGCTATCACACAGCAACTCCCGACCCCGCATGGTTGACCACGACAAGGCAAGGCGACGACCAGCCCCCGCCCATACCCTGCAGCAACCCATTCCACCACGCGACCCCAGCGACCGCGTCAGACGCCATCAGAGGTGTCATCCTGCTCTAGCGGGCAGTCACATTCGAGGATGCTAAATCCATCTATAAATACCCCGAACTCTCAAGAGAAAGGGGACGGTCAACACACTCAACACACAGAGGTTTTCTCCTCCTCCTAAACCGCCTCCACATCTCTTTCTAACTTGATCATCGGAGGGGTCGGGTCGAGTACCCCGACCCAACCTTTGTGTAGGTGCGGAGCCCTTGGAGATCACGGCCTTTGGAGATCCAATAGACCCGAAGGGCTCTCCCACCCGTAGACCACCGCCTTCCGGACCTGGACCAAGCCGCGACGGCCCCAAAGCCACGGCTAAACAGTTACCTACCGTAATAACAATCAACTAAGAAAACAAATCAGGTCATATCGATTACATATTAATAGAATATTGGGAGCAGATTTGATTTGATTTATAGAATACACTATCTTTATTAATTTCGATTGAAATATTTTGAACCTCAGTGGTTTTATTTCCATATATATTAATGGTCAAATAACATCTAACCCCATGGCCAAACCCGCACGTGCGAGCCGTGGTTTGACCCAGACCCAACCCAATAAGTATCTTGTCCGTTCCGGTCGACTGTAGTCGTCAAGATAGGAACCACGTGCGCTCCTTGCCACGAGACCTGAGCCCACGTCAGAGAACATACGTGGCGACTGATCGTTGGAGACAACACCTCACACCGACCGTTCGTGACGTGGACCAAACCTCCATAAAAGGCTCTTGGTTGGCGGCGAGGGCCGAAGGAGGAAGAACCTGCGACGAACACAACAACGAATCTTCGTAGTCGATCGGTTCCTTGTTGGTGTCGCCGTCGCCGTCGGCCAATACCTTTACGCCGCCGTCTCCAATTAATAAGGTTTGGGTTGGCGCGTACCCTTCTTGGGCTTCTGGGAGTCGGTGGGGATTCGGAGATCTCGGAAATGGCCCAAGCAGTCGAGGAGTGGTACAAGCAGATGCCCATCATCACGCGGTCGTATCTTACGGCCGCGGTCGTCACCACCGTCGGGTGCTCTCTCGAGGTGAGAATTTTTGTTGTCTTTCATGTCGATATTGGATTAGATCCAGGGTTAGGGTTGCAAGCTTTTAGATTTTAATATTTTGATCTCTTGTCAACGGCTGCGTCGTAATACTAGTTTTGTGCTTTGTGTTGATTTTGTGGAAATGTGTATTTTTCAGATTATATCGCCCTATAATCTGTATCTGAATCCTAAACTCATAGTTCAACAGTATGAGATATGGCGCCTCGTCACGAACTTCCTCTACTTCCGGAAAATGGGTAGGTTTAAAGTTCGTTTTTTCATAATCATTTATCTCATGTTCGTAGACATTCTTTGCCCCGTTCTAATATTTCTGTTGCCAAAACCGGTGGGTGAATATCAGTTTATGCATTTGTCGGTTTGTATTCTTGTTCTGCAAGATGTTGTGAAACAATTATTCCATTTCCATCCAAGTTCGATCCTGTTATTGCGATACGTACATTCATTATGTAGGTGTGTTTGTTCCATGGAAAAGGACATGAAATTTGATCTTTACTGTTCTGCTCCATCCGATCTTGATGATGGTGGATGGTGTGGTCATGGATTTGGTTTTAATTTCACAGCTCATTTGACCAAACTGTAATCCCTGTCAGCCAGTCCTAGCAGAAGTGCCATGATAATCATGAAGGACTGAGGACAAACAGAAGAAAATTTAAACTGTAATGTTTTCACATTTTTCAGTGCTAACACAAATGTAGGCAAATAAAAAACAAGGTAGATTTTAGGGAGAAACAATATAAATAATAGCGGAGAAGTAAACAAAAAAAGAAAATAATAAATCAAATAGATGGTTTGATGAAATTGAGGCACTAAATTGAAAGATAGAAGCCATACTTTTGTTTTCTCAACCATAACAGGTCTCTTAATCTCTTTCTATTATCATGAACTATCCTAATCTTGAACTCAGGCAGGAGAAGAAATGGTATGGCTGACTAGTTATTTCATTCGAGTGGAAGAATTTTAATCACTTACTTGCTATGACAGTCAAGTTGTGTCATCATTTCTTTTAAACTTAGCTCTCTACAAATCAATTGAAAAAACTGCTATGAGAGATACATTAAATTAATGATTGAAATTAAATATTTCCATTGACTCATTTGAAGTTTCTTAAACTTGATTCATAGTACTCATAGTCCTATCAAAATGACAATTCTACCTATGTTATCATTTCACTGCATATTGCTCTTACTGGAGGTATAACTGAAGGGATTTCATTTGTTTTACCAGGGAATGTTCCAAGTATTCACTTAAATTTGTTGGTATGTGATGATCAATTATTACAAACAAGATATGCCCTACATGTTCATACAATAGTCCTACCTTGCACTGACATCTATTGGTTGTAAATGATATTTGTTTCCTGTTGAAATTTATGTTGTAGGATCTCTTCTGGCATTTGTGAATGAGATAATCTATTGACTACATTCATTTTTGTGGAATTATGTTTTTATGTATAAGACCAAAACTTAGCTTTCTTAAGCCACTTTTTGCATGCAATTGTATTGCCAGTTTTAAATGTTACTTTCTACTTTTCATGCCTATAATTTGTATATAGTTCTCCTGTCAAACAGTGTCATGTATTTAGAATTACCTTTAGGGTAAATTCAAAGAAACAACAACAATGATATTTTTGTTCTGGTTTCTTTCTTCATGATGGTTGCTTTAAAATATGCCAGTTCACGATTTTTAAGATTGATGTCAGTAGTTAACTTCATCTCATTATTGAAATTTGTTCTGCCATTTGGGTCGTTTCTGTATAACTGGCTTTTCTCTAGAAATTGTTTCTCTTGTTGGTACTAACTTGTTGAAATTGCCAGATTTGGACTTCCTATTCCACATGTTTTTCCTTGCTCGATACTGCAAGCTTCTTGAGGAGAACTCATTTAGGGGCAGGACAGCAGATTTCTTCTTTATGCTCCTGTTTGGTGCAACTGTTCTAACTGGGATTGTTCTCATTGGAGGGATGATACCGTACTTGTCTGAGAGCTTTGCGAATATCTTGTTTCTGAGTAATTCGTTGACATTCATGATGGTTTGTGATCAGTAATTGACGTTTGACCATATCTACACTATTTCTATGCTTCTTTATGGTTTCTTTTCTTCTAAGTTTGAAAGCCTCATAATGTTTTACAGGTCTATGTATGGAGCAAGCATAATCCTTATATTCATATGAGTTTCTTGGGTCTTTTCACTTTCACAGCTGCTTATCTTCCATGGGTGAGTTAATATACTATTCTTTCTTGATCAATGAAGCTAAACATGAATCTCTGTTTCATAATTTGCATTCTTTTACAAGCTTACAGTGCATTGTTTAACCTGAAATTTAAATTATACATCTTCACAGAATGCATTTAAAAAAAATGAATATTTGTCAATATTTGCAATTCAATTACACATTTATAATGTCTGTGATTTTCTGATATGATCTTGATGACTTTTCATGTGTTTCTAAATTTTATAGGATTTTTAGTGGATGCTGCTGCTTTCTTTGCGAATTATATTCTAAAGTATTTTTATGTGTTATATGGTTTTCTTTCTCTCTCTCTCATGGTATATAACTATATATTGACTCAAGCACCTGAAGTATTGACTTGTTTTGTGGGTCCTGGATAGTGCAACAAACTGGGAATATCTGCCTTCTGTCTAGCATTAGTTGTGACTCATATGGTGGTGCATATGTAAAATAATAGTTTTTGATGAGTTTATTGTTATACTTGGTAAAGAAATGCAAGGTTTCACTTGGTTTACAATCTCTTTGCATGTATATATCTAATTATCTGCTTCAATCAGAATTCAGAAATATGTTCTTGATGCTGCAAATTTCCTTAAGCTCATTGAATTATTACCTTGCAATCCACATAGGAGAACCTGTTGTGGTCTTGAGGCATTTTAACTGTTGTATGCCATGATTAGTAGTGCTTATTTTTTAAAACTGGATTTTTTACTGAAAATTTGTTTTTATCTGAATAATATTGAAATCCATTTTGAAGAATTTTTGGCCTTCACTCTTATAAGTATGGAATGTTCACCTTCTTAGCCAATTGACATTTCTCCTCTGTTGCTTAAGATTTTCTTGTTTGGTGAAGAGTGCCGCTATGTTCTTATGGGGTCCATATGCAGTTGTTATTATGTAGCTTCTCAACCCATTGTATAGACTTCATCTTCACTACACAATTCCATAAACTGATCGAATAAGAATGGGTCTGAGAGCCAGGAAAAGAAGAGGGGTCAGGCCATCCGTCAGGTTCTACACATTTAAGAGTTGTGGCATTTTTATTTCCAAAATAATGGTGTTCTTATACCATTAATTTGATGTGGCCTCATCTTATAGATGTTTATAAATTTCATAGTGGTCTGAACTGGATCTTGTTGAATTGAAGAACCTGATTACTACTGAAAATTCTTACCTTTTAAATAACTTAATGTGAATGCCTTCTGTTTGGACTCTCAATTTCGGAAAATTGTCCATGGGATTGGCTGAAACATGTTATTGTGGTTTGAGTGCCATTTCTTGCAAGTGTTTTCTGTTAATTGCTATTAGTAGTCAATTAATCACCTTAAGATTCATATAATCTCTGATGGACTTAAATTTAAACCCATCGAGTTTGTGCCTTGTCTGTGCTTACTAGGCATGGTCCGCATGGTATAAACTGAAGTGTTCATTGCACATGCCTGGTACTTGCAATGCATATTTGGATTTTGTTTGATGGCATGGCAGTGACACAGACATGTGACATGCCAGTTCATTGCCTTCACAATGCTATAGGCACCTTAATATTAAGTACAGGATCTGTAGTGGGGAAGGACAGGCTGTGAAAGAAGTATATTCTCCTCAATGTCAGGGAGTTCTCTCAATATCTCTTAATTATTAAGCTAGCTGTTGATTGTATTATCTTAGATCCTTCACGATGAATTTATCCAACATTTTGTAACTTAATATGTGCCTCACTTTTTTTTCTTTCAGCGAAAAATAAATTATAGTAGAATGGTCAGCAGACTTGGAATCAATTGTGATCATTTACCTTTTTGTGTCCTGGGAGCTAGTTGCTTATATTAAAAATGCAAGTCATTATATTATTAAACTGTTATTGGTTCCTTGTGACAGGTTCTTCTGGGATTCTCTATTCTTGTTGGCAGCACTACATGGGTAGATCTTCTGGTATGCTACCTAAAACTTTTGGGATATTGCAAATATGACAGATATTGTTAGAATAATCTATGTGAAAAATAAGAGAGTAACATGGTTAAGTAATGGAAATTGTTCAATTTCTGAATGATGTTTCTTGAAATTTTGTAATCTTGGAACTACATAGCTTCACTCTTTTAAATGAGTAAATGTTCTACTAATATATGCTTAGGAAATCACCTAATTGCTGATTTAGATTTCAAAAGTAGTGCACGGTTACAAATTTTCATATAAACTTAGATTCTTTACCAAAATGACCCTGCTCTGATGAGACATTATTTCCTTGACATTTAGATCTGGTTTGCCTGTGTAAGTGGTAACCTAATGTGGCAAAATACAGAAACGACAAGTGTTTGATCTAAGGTATAAAAAACAACAGATGACTAAAGTCAAATGCCTCTTAAAATCTTGCTTTTTTAATAGCATTTATATCCATCCAAAAATTAGACATCACAATTTAGTTGATCTTACATGAAAAATAACATGGAGCACGTTTTGAAGTTTGTAGTAAAACAATGCTCTTACGTTAGACATTTGTGAAGTTAACATAGAATTTCTAACAGTATTAATCCTTATTTAATCATATGGGCATTTACAGAGTTTAGGAGTGTGTTTTTATGATTAGGCTTTGGCTTAACAAAGATTCTCCAGATTTAGTAATTGCATTAATTAGTAGAGTGCGACATTTGAAGTCCAAATTTCTTATATAAGCTAAGAGCGCAACAATTCAATTTAGCAAGCTCTATGCATTCTTGATAGAGAAGGTTCTGTGTACTAATTTGATTGAACAAGACTGGAGATACACCAATTCCTCCTTCGTATTCAGTTGAGAATTTAGATCACCTGTTCTTTCCCGTTCAGAGTTCGTTGCTTCAGTCTTGACTATCAATCTAACTCTTTCTGATTATTATTCATTTTTAACATTCATGTTCCATGATTTTATACTACCATTCTATTTGTTCTTGCCATTTTTTTCTTTTAATAATAACTTGTCTTATTATGCTGAACTAGTTGGATTGCCTCGACTGTAGGGTATGATAGCAGGTCATGCGTATTATTTTCTGGAAGATGTTTATCCACAGATGACAGGACGCCGCCCCTTAAAGACTCCTCTCTTCATCAAGGCACTATTTGCAGATGACGATGTTCTCGTGGCCCAGCCAGGAAATGAAAGATTTGCTCCTCCAGCACAAGATCTTCATCAAGATTAATGAAGAGGAGTACCCAGAATCTGTGTGCTTCCATTGGAGATCCAGCCATAAGCATTTATTCGCTCTCACCTTTCGGACAAATAGGATTGATTATTTGCTCTCACCTTTCGCTCTCACCCAGAATCCTGTTCTTGTTTTGTGCTTCTAGAAATGTTGAGTTTGACTCTTGTAGAAATGTTGTGCATAGCAGAGAACATTTATGGGCAATTATACTCTTTTGAAGAAACATTGTGTTGGCTGCAGTAAATATGACATAAGCCTTTTCTGTAAAATTGACCTTATAATTTTTAATGAAAGTAGCATGCAAACATTTATAGGCGTGATTTCTTGCATTTACAATCTTGAAGAGGTTAAGATGAACACATGCTTCATTATTGGATTAATTATATATTATCTCTTATAATTAAATTGTTTAATATTTTAATTTTTAGATTTAAGTAATTTATATTGAAATATTTATAGTTATGAAAGTGAAATGTTTAATTTTATTTATTTTAATGTTATCGGTTTTATTAATAAAAGATACAACATATGATAATACGTGCATGAATGATATAAAAACGATGGGCAAAAAGATAATTTTAACGATGATAGCATCGTGGGTAGTTATGGTGGTGATCAACGATAATGACGTGATGGTTGACCTTGCCAATGTCGCTCCGAACATTGATAGGGAAGAGGAGGCAAAGAGGTGAGGCATCTGCGTTGGTATCGGAGGAGGAAGAGAAGGGAGCTACACTGCTATGCCTCCTCTTCCTCCTTTGGTGTTGCTTTGCATCTACGTCGACATCGGAGGAGGCAAGTGAGGCAGAACAAGCAGAACAGATACGATCGATCAATCTTGAAACCCTAGCCAAAATAGCGATTCTCAATCCAAAGGCTATTTGCAATGCAGTGATTCATCGTTTCTTTGTTGTCTCGCTCACTATATCCATCACCGCCAGCCTTTTGATACTCTCCCCCGCCACCACAGTGCCAAAGGTGAGTGAGAAGGATGAGGGTTTGTTGTCTCTCCCGCCATTAGATCTGTACTCTTCGAGCCTCCATTTTGTATGACGATCAATCTTTGCCATCCGATCATATCCCCTCCAATCACGGGCGAAGCTGATCTTAAAGTAGGTTAGTGACCACATTGTTGTGGTTGGGGCATATCTGTTTGTTCGCGCGTTGGCTAAAGCTCGAGAGCTCGAAGTAGGCACACGCCTCTTCGTCAAGCTCGCTTGCAACCTCTCCCCCCTCCTTGTCGCTCGTCATCCCTTGAATTCGTTACACTACTGGACGAAGTGACTATCCAAGGATTTGACGAAGTGACTATCCAAGGATTTGAGTGTGATACCGACGCAAATGCCTCACTTGCCTCCTCTTCCTCCTCAGAGTGACACAACTACCACAACAACTACCTATGGTGCTATATTTATCATTGATAAAACTAATAGTATTAGGATAAATAAAATTAATTTTTTTTTACTCTCATAATTATAATAATTTTTTAAAGTTTATGGATTGATTTAGTAGCGAGTCTCACTATAGGAATAATATATAATTTTTCATGGTTTATGCAGAGATACCTCAGCTCATTCCTGCCAAATCCAAACCCTCCTTCAGCAAGGGTTCCTTTCAAATCCTTTCCATCTCATCTATTTTGTTTTTATTCTTTTCTCAAACTAGATGAACCACATAATTCAGTCAATACTTTTTTCGAGGATCCCTTCAAATCTGCAATTTTTCTCAGTAGGAAAAAAAAAGAGAGTATTTGCATATAGTCTTTTGTAAAATTGGGGATGTAAATACCCTGCATAAGAATCCAAATATTACCTTTTGTTTGACTGATAAAAAATAAATGCTCTTGAAAGTAATTTTAAGAAATATAAAACCTAGAAAAAGCAGCTCCTTTATACTCAAACTATCACACCCTAGACATAATTTTCTTAAAGGTCCTAAATAGAAGTTCCATATTTTTCCACACAAATCAAAATTTAATCCTCCATCATGTCAGTTAAATGATTTAGAAAATCCAGTTTTGGTTCATGTCATATTTGGGAGGGTAGATAGTTAACCTATCTTAGAGAACCTCTTTCCCCATTCCTGCTTTAGTTTTCTAAATTTATAGGTGGCATTTGCAGGAATAAAAATGGTATTCTAAATATATTGATTGAATCATGCAAAACAAAAAAAAAAGATTGATCTAAGTAGTTGTTGAGAACATAACCCAAGTTGTTTGAAGTAATCTTGACATACTTAATTCAGAAAATTTATGTATATTGCATTATGATCTGATTAATATGCAGGACAGCATTTTCTCTCCACATATGCAACACAACAATACTCTTAACAAAAGTATGCAATAAGATAAAGGTTTTACATCTAGAATGACACAATACTTTACATCCAGAATTTAACAAACAGGTTTCACAATAATTTAGACCTTTTTCCCCAAAGTGATCAAAGATCCCTCTGCCATCATGATGTAAGTAATGGTAGGCTGAAGACAGATTAATAATACATGACAAAATAGGAAATGGAGAAGGTAGACCAACATATCAGTACGCAAATAGTAATACCACTATCCACCTATCTTTAATGAACCAAATCAAGCTAGCAAGACAACTTTTCCTTACAAGAGGATAGTTGTCATACCAGAATGAGTTAGAAATGTACTTGCATCAGAAAGTTTGTAGCCCTGGAACTTCAATCACTCAAGTTGGACAGTCATTCTGAAAATTGATTTCAGCATTAGGATCATGGAACCTGTTTTACTCCAGTCAAAAACACAACACCGAGGTTGTCAGGTGAAAATGAAGAGGTCCACACTCCTTTACCCAAATCTCATCTTGACAAAGCTTGCTATGGCCAAGGATGATCAAGTTGCAGCCTTTAATCTATATTTTCGCAACCACATTTTCCATGGAGTTGTTCTTCTTGACGACTCCTCTAGAACATAATTCACCAAGTAACTCCAAAGCCTCAGTGGTCATTCCTTCATAAGCTAATCCCTCGATAAGGATAGTGTAGGTTGATTCAGTAGGCATGCACCCGTTCGAAACCATATAAGCAAAGAAATCGATAGCTCGAACCGTCTGCTGAACTTTACAAAGTCCCAAAATGATCGAGTTGTATATATTGGCATTGGGTCTGGTCCCCATCTTCTGCAAGTCCTGAAATATGTTGATTGCTTCATTGATTCTACCTTCTCTACTAAGACCAGCAACTAGTGAGGAATAAGTAATTATGTCGGGATGAAGCCCCTTCTGCATCATCTCCTTCAAAAGCTCCAGTGCTTTCGATGTATTCCCAACCTTCGACAGCCCATCGATGACCGTGTTATATGTAATCAAGACAGGGGAACATCCCTTGCCTCCTAGTTGCTGAAGCATCTCGAGAGCAACCTCAACCTTGCCATCCTTGCACAATGCAGTAAGCAAAGTGTTATATGTCACTATATCTGGGTAACACCCTCTCGAGACCATTTTATCCAAGTACTCTAGTGCTCTGTCCATCTTCTTCTCCTTGCAGAAACCGTGAAGCACCGGGTTATAGCTCATCGAATTGGGCGTGCACCCATGCTCGGGCATCTTCTCCAACACATCGATGGCACGGGCCAACAGCCCTTTCCGGCACAAGAAGTTGATAAGGATGTTGAAGGTCACGACACTTGGCGAGCAACCCTTGTGGATCATATCTGCCAACAGCTTCTCGGCGTCCATCCACCGGCCTGTGCTGCACATGCTCCTCAGGATAATGTTATGGGATATGACATTCGGGTTGCAGCCGTACGACTGCATGCCACTCAAGAACTCGATCGCCTCATCCAGCCTACCCTCCTTGCAGATCCCATTTATGAGGACGTTGTACGTGACCACATCCGGGGTGCATCCCTTGGCCCGCATCTCATCCAGGAGCTTCATCGCCTGCCCGACGCCGCTCTCCTTACAGGCGGCCTCAATTAGAATGGTGTAGGTGAAGACGTCAGGAGCGCAGCCCCGCTGAAGCATACTGTCGAGCAACTCGAGCGCCTTCGTGAGGCGGCCCCGCTCGCAGAGAGACTGAAAGATGGTGTTGTAGGTAACGACGTCGGGCGGGACGGTCATGCGGCGGAGGAGGCGGAGAGCGGCGTCGGGCACGCCGGACTTGCAGTACCCCGCGATCATGACGTTGTAGGTGATGACGTCGGGGGCGGCGCCGGAGGACTCGAGGAGGTCGAGGACGCGGGCGGCGCTGCGGGTGCGGCCGAGGCGGCAGAAGCCGCGGATGAGGCTGGTGCAGGGGATGATATCGGGGACCTCGCCGCGGCCGGGCATGGCCTCGAGGAGGCGAAGGCCCTCGTCGAGCTCGCCGAGCCGAACGACGCGGCGGAGACGGTCGTTGGCGGGGTCGGACGGGCGGTGGGTGCGCCTGGCGGGGGCGGCATGGAGGGACCGAGTCCGAGCACGGCGGCGGTGTCTACGCGGCGCAGTGGGGATAGCAAAGGAAGAAATGACGGCGGGAGGCGTTCGTCGAAGTGGGAGGAGGAGGCAGCGACAAGGGTGGGAGTCGCTAATGGTGGTTCGAAAGGGGCTACGAAGGGGAACGGAGGAAGAGGTCAACAGATCCATTACTGTTACTATCTGGAAGCGAGAGAGTGGAGGAGCGAGCGAAGGTTATTAGGGAGAAGCGGCGGAGGATAACGTTAGCCGACGCGGTTAGGGAAGGAGGTAGACGAGGGTATTTGAGGGGATTTTTTTTTTGTTTTAAATAAATATTTTTTATTCGGTCAATTTACGAAAAAAAGCTATTAGTTTTTGAAAATGTGGGAAACTTTTAAAATAATATATTTTTAATTAGACTATGAATTATATTTCAAAAAATCTAAAGCCTAAAAATAAGATATTTTATAAATTTTAAAATGATTATGTTATTAAAATATAATTTAAAATTATGAAAAACAATCATACCAACTTAATTGTGGATTTAGACTTTATGTAGACATGAAAATTACAAATGTGATACCATATATTTGGGATCTAACAGTACATATTAAAGTGATAAATAAAGTGATACCATCACAGCCGTCGAAGCATCCCAATCGCTCTCATCACCGTTTAATCCCGGTCTCGTGGCGTTCTATATCTGGTGCAACGCTCCCCCGCGGAGTCCCCTTTCTCTCTCTTGTTCTCTCTCTCTCACTGCGCGTTCCATTCGAATCCCCAATCTTTCCCCCCATTTTACTTGACCTTCCTTAATCCTTTGCTTCCACCGTCCTTGATCTGAAATTGTTGGGTGCCAGTGCCGATTATACCGCCTATCGGATCAATTACTTAGTTCTGATGGGAGCTCAGTCAATATTCTTTAGCTTTCTTCTCTTCTGGCCATCTTTTGTGGGGAATTGATAGCGAATTTCTTCTCAAGATGCGGATTTCAGCTTTGCAAGTGATTTCTTAAGTTTGATGGAGGTTAATTTTTGGTTTTCCATCAAACTCGGTGATTAGGTTTTGGGTCTTTCACTTGGTGAAGTTTATTTAGGTGATGCTTGGAGATTAAAATTAATTCACTGTTTCTTCCCCCTAAATTTTGTGTTCTTTTTGTAATTTTGAAGTTTTGTATAAGTTGTTTATTGGGTTTGTATTAGGTCTATCTTTTTATTTTCTGTTTTGCAGTAATTGTTGCATGCAATGGAACATTCAGAGGCTACCATCATTGATACGACGAGTGGCAAGATGAAGGATGACGAACAGACTAACGATAAGAAGATCTGCGATTCAGAGCCAGTGGTTTACCAACTTGTTCGGGTAATTGTTAGTTGGCAAACTTTCAATCAGTGTTTATTTTGATTGCTCAAAGCTCTTGTTTATATGTAAAGCGAAGAATTATATAGACTAATACTTTCATTCAATTGATTGTAGAAATGAATTCTCAAATCACTAAATCTTAATTGATCAGTTTTAACTGAAATATGCATTTAGGATAAGCAATGGATATTGCAATTGTCGATGTTGGGGTTTCATGTACGAGAAGGTTCTTGCAAGTGGTTGTCTACATGATCATCAAAGTATTTAAATACCTATATAAAGGTTAAGTTAATACTTACAAATGATGCCTTCTAAATGGCCTTTTATAGGGGCATTTACATGGGGGATATTGATGGTTGCAGTTCCCATGACAAACTACACCAACTGAATCTGCTTATGCTGAAATGTGTACAACATCATGTGCTTAATGCAATATAGGTGGATGGTCAAGATTGACTAATGACTTCCATTTAACACAACATAATTTAAACATATATTTCATTGCATGGCAACATGCTCACAGATGCTTGGATCAGTAAGATCAGTGCTCATTATGCAGACTAGTCTTGAGAACTGAGATTTTAAGATTAGGAAACATTTTAAAAGCATCATTAAGATTTTTGTGTTTTCAAATATTGTGTTCGATATGGTGGATCCTATTGTTGGAAAAACAATATTATTGCTACTCAAAATCTGAGGATATAGCACATAGTCCAAAGTGAACTTGTTTTTTGAGGTGGATGGCCAACTTAACCTTGTGGTCAACCTGATCTAAATATGAAATTGCAGAAGCAATCTTTTAAGTACTTGATGATGGAGGGAGAGCGTCAAGGAATTGGTAGCCCCATCTAGCTCAGCTAGTTTAGTTAAGCATGTTTTCTTTTTTTTTTAAATGCTCTTTTTGGTTTAGCGCTTCATAGGGTTTCTAAACCATTTAAGAATAGGCACAAGAACATCAATTTACTTATTTATAGAAGAACCAATCTTGTTTGAAAAACGTAGCTCCATAAGATATAGTTCAGCTTCATGACCTCATTGGTATGTACCCTTGAGAATCCCCACATTTATAATTTTATATTATACTCTTTGATATTTCATCAGGATTCATGTCCAATGAATCCAGAAAATTAGTGCTCATTTGGGTTTGATCCATTGATATCTAGCATAAATAATATCATCTTTAGAGAAGATAAAAAACCCCATTGCTCTTATCAGTTTCTGTTAATGCTCGGTTTCATGATTAAACATTGATGCTTCAAGCTCAAGCTCTTACATCTTCCTTATGTAAATCCTGATGACACATGAGATATCATGAACCTTTTCTGTTATGGGTTTTCTTTCAATCAGGTTGAAGGTGATGGAAGGCTAGTTCCCGCTACTGATGATGAGGTTATTGAGGTGGAGCAATTACTCGAAGTTAAGAAGAGTGACCTGGCTAAAGTGAAAGCTGTTGGTCATGATGAACAATGTATTTCCAATGAGGTTTTCTCTAAGTCTGAGTTGGAAGGTATTGAGCTATTGACATCTTGCTTTCCCTTTGAAATACTTTCTTTCGTGGTTTTGTGTCTGTAATTACTTTTTTATTTTTTGTGATTGTTCAGTATTATCCTGACATATGTGCTTTTTTGTTAGCCGTTAATTTCAGGACTATTTTATTCTTTATGCCCTTAGGAAATGTAGTCTGGCTATGGCTGGTTCTTATACTCTATATATTTCTTCTATCTTATGAAAATCTCCTTTGTTCCTTAGTTTTTGGTACTTCTCCTTTTTCAGTTGCTGTTTGAAATGCACACATTTTTTTCTTATGTCATGTAGTATCCAACTGTCTTTCTTTTACTTATGTCATGTAGTAGCTTATATATGGTAGGTTCTATTACTATAAGTCCCAATTTTCCATGTTTTATTTGCGCCATGTAGTGGCCAATATATGGTAGGCACTATTACTATAAGTCCCAATTTCCATATACATAGCTTTCATCATAGCCATGTGCATTAAGACTTCAGTAAATTGTCCATTTCCACTCTCTGTTTTCATTTTACCTGACATAGAGTTGTACAAAAAGATTAAATTGCTTTACTCTCAATTTAATGATTTATTTTTTTTCTGGACATAGAGTTGTCCATAATGATTAAATTGCTTTACCCCCAAATTTATTGTTCGAGGTGCGGTATGGTGTGAGTACTGGTTATTGCAACTAATTTGGTTTGTGGCACATGGGAAATAAGACTACTTGGTTCATTATTTTGGATCCTCCTACATATTTAATCATTTAATTAGATTACTTGCTGCATTAGATAAATTGTTTTGGTCTTACTGTGTAAATTTCTTAGACAAAAGTAGTCAATAGTTTTTTATAATTATTTTAGCTTACAATTTATAATTTCTAATACTTCATAGGAAAACAAATGTCACTGCTAGCTTAAATTATGCTTGGAATTATGTTGTTTCACGGTATATGCATTTTTTTTGTATTGAACTTCATACATAAGTAAATTTTGTATATCAGGAACCGTGCAATCTGGGAATGCTGACAATTCAAGAAAGTTGAATGCTAGGCTTGAGGTGTGTGTTCCTTCTTGGTGCATCAAGCAGTGAGAGCATGAATAAATTTTGTACTTGTTTTTTGTTGTATTATAACATTCCTTGTGTGAAATCTTATGCAATGAAATTTAGTCCAAGCTGGTTAGTTCTAAATGTAGATCATCAGCGTTTTCACTCCAGTTCATCTAGTCTACTCTCTATATATCTTTTATATCTAGGGATATAAGTGAAACCCTTCATTGGATAAATCTGACTTTCACATATGGGTGTGACATAAATGTTGAAACAAAATATCCATTGTTTTACAGACATTCAGTGTATGGGATTTGAATGGTGGTATGAACAAACTGTATGCAAATCATCACCACTGAGGGATTAGTTCTTTGTATGCTAACCACATTGAATTTGTAACTTGACATTGGTTAGAGTTGGTTTATACCTAGAACATAACAAGGACATGTACAAAATTGAACCCATTTAAATATCATCCAAATTATAATTAGAATTAATATAAATAAATGAATATTTAACTTGCAATGGAGGGGGGTTCTAGTTTTAACAAATTTAGGGATGAGGGGTTGATGAAACCCAACTTTGCTGGAGCTTAATGGGAAAATATGAATACATTCTTAGGCAAAAATTGTTTGTGAAATATTCTAGCTTAGCTTAATCTTGATGTCTAGAGGTGCTAATTGGTCTAACTAGGCTAAGTTATGACAATATTAGGATTGGGAAGCTCTGAAGCAATACATATTTGTAGCCAAGTTGACCCTGTCTTGGCTCTTTGTCCGTAGTGTTGTTTTAGTTTGGCCTCTATTTGTTCAGCCAAATAATTTGCCTAGTGATGTGACGCTCATTTGATGGGCCACGGCATCAATGACAATCTTGATGCCAATCTTGGCCTTGTCCATCTTCAAGGGCATGGCATCATTCTGAAGTATCACACACCTCTTATTGCATGGGACAACAGTGGAAGTTTGGTATGCATCAAAGTTGACGTCCAAGCTGACTCGGGACACTAGATCCTATTATTATGGTGGACATGATTTTTCTTTAATTTGGTTAGTGCATATCAAGGATTTCATATTTGAGTGCTGGAGTGGAAGAATAGAGATGACGAAATGGAAGACGGTATTAGGTGATTTTCCTAATTATATGTGAATTCTAGTAGATTTGACTGAGGGTCTTGGCCTTAAGGCTCAGAGTTCATTTGAGCTGATCCAACGAAGCCCCAGGACCTATAATTTTGGACTTGGATCTAGCTTAAAGGCGACATGGTCCAGGCCCTTTACCAGCATCTAGGAGATTCTTTTCTACAAGCCTTAATAAGTGGTTCTAATATATGGTTGTATGGTTGTTGAAGTTAACTATTCATTTCACTATGAAGTTCTATTTGGAGGACTGGCTGATGTTTGGATGAAGGTCTGGAGACTGTATCACCATGTTACGACTAATCTCTCTTTCATTTTGAATAAGAGATCCAATATGCCTTCAAATTTTAGCCATAGGAACTTTTTTGTCTATCCATCTTATATATAACTCTTAGTGCTCATCAAATCTTACATACTCAATTTTGGTCTAACTGTAACCTTTAATTTGTAACATTTGTCTCCATAACTCAGGTTTAGAATTAATCCTAAACATTCATTGGCTAAAAAAATGTTTTCTGCAAACAACTTACTTCATGGGATTTATTATACGTATGGTAATATGTGACTAGTGTTTGCCTCTTAAACTGCTTATGAATGAAATCCTGTCATCTGTGAATCATATAGCCAGGGCCTCATAATGTACTAGAGTAATGATCAAACATATCTGAGATTGAGAGCGATTATTAGTTGAAAGTAGCTATTCCCTGCGGTAAGTGAAGGTTGCCTTTAGAAAAAGCAAATGTGTGAGTGAGCATAATATTGTTTGTTAAATGTACAACTACTTTGTCATGCACCTGTGTATTCCTATTGCATACTTTATCAATCTTGATATGGAGAACTTATATGATTGTACAGAGGTGTCTGCTACATGGTTTCTCACTTGTTTCCAAATAACAGCTATTGTTAATCCTATCTTGAGGTGTACATCAGGCGACAGATTAGATGTCCCTAACCTACATGAACGTAAGAAAGACATCCACTTTATTACATGTTTGTCGACAACTATCATGGAATTCATTGGTCAAAGTCAAACAATTTATTTACTGTACATGAGTAGTTTCTTATCAATAGTTGTACTCTTTATCTCACATCTTCAGTTTGTTATTTCAATTGATTAGTTTTTTCCATTATGTTGGCCTTGTTCTTCAGCTATTTTTTCTACCTTTTCTTTTTGTGGTTTATTTTACCATGTAGAATATAAAGGTGATGTTAAAAAAAGTTAAAAAGGAAGAGAGGCTGTTGTTGTCGGGTGAATCTCTTAATTGTTCTCCCAAATTCATGGTTATGGAGGATTCAACATCTGACAGATCCAACACCTCAAAAGCATGTATTGACAAGCACGAACCTGAGAATCCGTCTAGGGAAAGAGCAGCAAGTTCTCTGGAGCTTAATAGCATCCACATTGTTGAAGTAGGAACCATCGAAGCATGCTCAGGTCCCATGAATAAGGCAGCAACTAGTAGATCATCCATTTCTGAGTCTTGCAGTAGCTTATTACCTGATTTTTCTATTTTAAGAGGAGAAATTTGTTTGGATAATTTCTCAATTAGGGAACTTCAGGAAGCTTTTAGAGCTACCTTTGGGCGTCATACATCTGTTAAAGATAAGTTGTGGCTGAAGCGGCGCATAGCAATGGGGTTAACTAATTCCTGTCATGTTCCAACTGCACGTTTTACTATCAAAGACAACAAAATAATTCTCAGTGACCTGAAAGAACCTGCAAGGTTGCAACAGTCCACGATTGAAACTGAATCATTATCCATGGACATTCATGCAACAAATGTTAGTCCCCGAGATATAAAAACTTGCTTAAATAACCAGATGGAATTTCAACAAGTGTCTGGTAAGAGACTTGGAGTACTTCCTTCAAATGATGATGTAAAAGATGAAAATATACAGATGGAGCAATGTGCTGCCAAGAGGATGAGAAAGCCCACAAAGCGGTATATCGAAGAACTTTCTGACCTTGAGACCAGGGAGTGTACTGCTAAATCATATTATTCTGTGAATTCAGAACAAAGTCAGTTCCCTTCAAAAGCTCAGATCATGCCTTTCCATGGTGGTACCCATAGAAGACTTTCTTCGACTAGACACGAATCCCTAAGAGGATTCAGTTTTCAGGTACCATTTGTACTCAGAGCCAGAAGAGGACAACCTAGGAAGAATTTAATGGCGCTTATGGTATGTATATGTTCAATTAAGCATGTTCTTTAGCTTCATGGTGCCGTAATGTTACTGCTCTATGCTATAGTCCATCATAAAAGATGAGTTCTAATTGTCTGATAGTTACTTTAGATCATTTTATTGTTTCTCATGTAAGTGAAATATCTTGCTTTGTTTTTTCATAGAGGATGGGTGTTGACGTCATGGTAGAATTGCTCATTTATGATCTAGTAGATACCTAGGGTCCAAGTTGAGAAAACGTTTTCTTCCTAGAGCTCATGGTGGTGTGAGCCTTGTGCCTTGGGCTGTCCTCTTTTGTTCTATATTACTAATAGGCTAAGGTAAAATTTTGAATTCGGTAAGGCATATATCTATTGTTTATTTTACCAAAAATACATGAATCCTGAAAAGCTGAAAGACAACAGTTGATGATTTTATCAAACAATCACAAGATTTGTGCATGATCCAAGTTTCACTTAACTGTGAATTGAATTGACTGAACTCTTTTCAGCATCATTGTTGATTCTCGGTGGAGATCGAAATAAATCTATAAATAGGGTCTTATTGCCTAATTCCACAAGTGCGTAGTTGGCATTGCTTGTGAATTTTTTATATCATATTGCATTTACTCAAATCAAGAATGGCACCGTGAAGATTATTTGAACAAAGGAAAGATAAAGTACGGGAGAGTATTTCCTTTTTTGGGAGAACTATAATATGAGAATTTTGTTGTTATATACCATGACTAGTTAACCTCCATTCTAGTTTAGGTGAAAATATTTCTAGCTCCCAAAAGCATCTTTCTTTAAGAAATATCTGAATTACTTTTTTAAATTGAAAAAAGTTGTAATATCAACCTTTATGCCTATTTGTAGGAATACCACCCTAATGCCATCTCTCGAATAGTAAAAACAGCTGTTATGATACCTGTTCTGGAAGAAGACAAGGAAAATGGAAGCAGTTCAAGGGAAACCAGATCTGTTCCTGTACAGATGTTGAACACGGTAAATTGATACGAGTTACCATGCAGCTTTATTCCTAAACTTTGTGTTGTTGGTGAAGTTCCTATGCTTTTTAGTATCTTTTTATTGTTGATTCTTATGTAGTTTCCAGCAAGTTTTAAAACTTCTAAAGGATAGACATCTCAGAATATCAGGAAGTTGCAAGTATTGCCAACCACTTACCTTTAAGACTTAGTTCCTGGGAAGTTTGATCTTATCATGTTTTGATTTTTAAAAGTCATTTTCACTAGTCGATTGACACACGGACTTCATGGATGCATTCTGATCGTATTCTATTCGCGATAAAGCTTTCTTTCGATTTTTTCTGAATTCATTTATGCTTAGTTATGACATCTCAGATCTTTTTCTTGCCTCGGTGCTTTATCATGGCCATCGGCTTTTGGTCACAACATAAATACACACCAAACTTTGTGGGCCCTGAATGTGTTGAATGCATTTTCAGAAAATCTCAATTGGCAATATTCTTACAGAATTTATCATATGTCAAGAGTGTTGCTGGTGAGGAGAGTGTGGAAATGGATTGTGGAACATTGAACTGTGAGGAGCTAGATCCAGAGCACAAAAAGTTAGATGGAATTGGAGATACTGCATGTGATAATGTACCTAAACAACTGGCAGCTAAGGCTAATGTCAGGAGGAAGCATCATAGGGCTTGGACTCTATGTGAGATCAGGAAGCTAGTTGATGGAGTAGCTAAGTATGGAGCTGGAAGATGGTCTGAGATTAGAAGACTGTCCTTTGCCTCTTATTCTTATCGGACCTCTGTTGATCTTAAGGTAATGTTCACATGGTCCTCAACTCTGAATCAGGAACTTTAATTCCCTGTTCTCAATGAACTGAAGATGTAATATATTTGAACTATAAATTTGTTGGTAAATCCCTATATTGTTCTATGGTTTCTTCAGGACAAATGGAGGAACCTACTGAGAGCTAGCTTGGTACAGTGTCCTACTGAGAAAGAGGTAAGTATCATAAGACGTTTCGATCATGCATTCTATTAATCTTTTCAGATTGTCTGTGAAACCGTTCAGCATCAATATGCATCCTTCCATATAGATAGTGAACTAGCACCTATTTCCCATTAGATTTTATTAATTAGTATATTTTCTTATTATATATCACAATTAGGATCATTTCATAACGAAGTTGTCACATTATGTGGATTTTAAGGTTGACTGACAATTTTGGTTGTGATTCGTTTACAAAGAAAAGTGACTCAGTTCCTCTGGTTTTTTTCGCCTTTTGCTCGTGCAGGCAAATAACTACCGCAAACAGACTTCAATACCAATACCGGCATCCATTCTATCTCAGGTCAGGGAATTGGCAAAATTTCACGCACAGACTGGGATCAAAGTCAGCCCTAGAAAGTCTGCAGGCCATGGAAGCAGCACAGTTCAGCGAGAAGGATATGGTTTTATATGACACTTATGTAAATGAAACAATTAAAAGTAGTAAAAGCTAACAACATTTAGTCACTCTGTAAATTATTTTGATATGTATGATGATCATAATATATGTTATGCATGTAAGTCTCCAAATCAGCTGGGATTTCAATATCAACAATTTAGTCACTCGTATATGTTATGCACCTTTATGTGGAGGTCAGTACAGCTTGGACCTATCTTCAAAGTGCAGGGTCGTCTGAGTAGTCTCTTAAGGGGAAGGATGGGAGAGCGAGGTTGGCTTCGGGGTTGTGATCGAACCTTCGAGGGCGCTTCGAGCGATGCTTGGCCTATGTCGGGATTTTGCACAATAGGCTAATGTCATGAGAGGTTTTTGACTCGATCTTTTTCGATCGTTAACTCAATTAGTATAAGTGTGTTCTCTCTTTCTCCTAGAATAGGGAATTAGTTTTTCTACCTACAGAGATGGTCGAGGGGTACGATGGTTGATAATGACCATCGGTACCTCTTGTGGTGCGGTTGCGTGGGTGACTGACTTGTATGCCTCTTACGGCACGAGTCGGCCCGTCTGGGCTCCTGTGGCGTGGAATCGAGCAAAAGGGCGCCATGATTTCCTTCTACGTCAAACAAATGTCGAGTCGTGTTCCACGTTGACTTTACGGTGGCTACCAACTGGTGACCTATAGTTGGTGCGGGAATACTCCCTATCGTTCGTGTCTCCCCCCCCCCCCCCCCCCCCCCCAGGAGGAGTGCTTCGAGAGCCTCGTAGATGGGTTCGAGGTACGTCATCTGATGCCTCCGTCGGTCGGGGTTTCTGCTTCTTGGTACATGGCTTTGATTGGGTCCCACTAATTCAAATGTCTTAGGCGCTCTTCTTTGATGGTATTGCCACCATAAACGACCCGATGTGGATCTCGTTGTCTCAATTCATATGCCTCATGTGCATTTTGCCTGGTGACTTCTCCATGGTCGACTCCTCTCGACTTACCTACCTCGAGCATGTTTGGCCAATGGTCTTATTGGATCTCTTCTTTCTCCCGACTTACACACCTCGAGCATGCTCTGCCTCGTGGCCTCGTCATGATGGGCCTTGGATATGTTGCTACCTCCTTCTCGATTTGTATAACTCAGGTACATTTGGCCCGATGGCCTCATTGTGGCGGGCCTCGGATCTTCTGCGACTTCCTTCCTGATCTGCATAACTCGGGCGCATTTGACCCAATGGCCTCACCATGGCGGGCCTTAGATCTTCCATTACTTCCCGATCTACATAACACAAGTATATTCGACCCAATGGCCTTATTAGGGCGGGTCTATTCTTTCGCTACCTCCTTCTTGATCTATACAACTCAAGCACATTCAGCCTAATGGCCTCACCATAGTGAGCCTCGGATCTTCCACTACTTCCTTTCCAATCTGTACAACTCGAGCACATTCGGCTCGATAGCCTCGTCGTGGTGCGCCTTTTCTTCCACTATCTCCTTCTCGATCTATACAACTCAGGCACATTTGACTCAATGGCCTCACCTTGGTGGGCCTCGAATCTTCCGCTACTTCCTTCCTGATCTATATAACTTTGTCACATTCAACTTGATGGTCTCACTATGGCAAGCCTATTCTTCCGCTACCTCTTTCATGATCTATACAACTCAGGCACATTCGGCTCGATGGTCAGGCCATAGCGGGCCTTTGGCTTTCGAAGCATAAACAGGCTAGTCTTTTTTTTTTTCGCACCATCCTGGGGTTTCATGTTGTTTCCATAGAACTCGAAGCGTCAATTCATCATGGTGAGGTGCGAAATTTTCAGCTCCTCGAGGGTTTCTTCGAGGCATCATTATGGAGGATTGGACATTTCTTGCCCCTAGGGATCTCCAAGGATTGCATTGGATGGGATGGCTACCTTGATGACAGAGGGTGAATGGTGGCTCTCCCCCCATTAAATTCCTCACTTAAGGGGGGGAGACCCATTCCACTTAGTTCCTCCTGCTTCTCTTCTCCAAACCTTGGGATTCATTAGTACGTCAGATCATCTTTCTTCGTCATACTTCGATCACCCTTCTGTAGGTCAAAATATCCTTTTCTTATTTCTCTTGTTATAGTGTGTTGAGTTGGGCTTCAGTTGAGGTCCATGTTTCATCCTCAAGTAGTTTGAGAGTAGAGTAGATAAGCTCATCCCCAAGGGGCATTTCCCCGATGGGCATTAAGGCTGTTATGGCCTCAGAGGCTATGAAAGATGCCCATGACTATGACTTGGTCATGACGGCACCGCTTCTAGAGCAACTTTGATTGAAGTATTGCATCTCGATTGAGTATGTGTTGCATGCCCCTCGACCCGGGCAACACCGTATGACCCAATCTTGAATGGGTTTGACTTGTCTTGTGATACCCTTGAGGCCGGGACTCAACCTCTTGCTTCACCTTGTCATCGAGTCCTATCTACAATGGTGATGAATCTTACTATCCTAGATGGTGCCCAACTCGTGACGTTATCTGGTGGCGTTCATCAAGGAGTGCCAGGGAGCAAGGATCACCTCGACTTGAATCATTTTCTCTGACTGCTTCCACCTGTGCAAGGGGTTGGGTGGCTACTACCTTGCTGCTCGAGGCGGCTTCAATGTGAGTGGAGCCCCTTCGAATAACAAAGGTTGGAAGGTGCACTACTTTTTCGTCACCACCAGTCAGGGAGCAATGTATCAACAACACTCCCCCCTTCCTATTTGATGAGGAGATCAAACAAGTTGGGCACCTAAAGGAGATCCTCTCTTCTTCCAAGTTAGTGAGGATGATGAATAAGGACTAGATGGTCGGAGCGTGTCTCAACCGGGCCCCTTGGGGTACGACTTCCAATTTTTCCTTCTATATTTCTTGTTTTCTTTTTTTCGACGCTGACCCTATTTTCTATCTTCCATCTTAGCAAGAATGGATCTTAAGAGGATGAAGGGAGCAGCTCGCGTCTCAAGTTTTGCAACACCATGACCTCTACAACCTTCAACTCAGGAACTATCTGCAGAGGCTCCCCAAGCACCTTGATCAAGCTATGATGGCTCAAAACAGTCGAAGAAAAAGCAGAATGTGGTAGCGTGAAAGGTGTCGTAGTTTGAAGGAGCTTCGAAAGGAAATAAGGTGGGAGGCGGCCTTGCTCGGGGACTAGTTGACGCTCCTTAGATATTGGCTCAAGGGGGTGCTCCCGCTGCTAGCCACGCTAGGGAAAGGGGGCATACCCCGTTCACTTTGGAGGCAGGGAGACCTAGGAAGAAAGCGACTTGACCGAGATCGATGTGTGACTTGTGTAGGGCCAAGGCCCGCACCAAGACCAAGTTGTTTATGGCTTTGCATATGGCCAACCTCTAGAGTTGGTGTTGGGCACTCCGATGGAGCCATGCTAGATGTCTCTCACCCAAGAGAGGAGGGTGTGGGCCGAGGGGGTGACTACCATGGAGTCTCTCCGAGGGGCTCTCTGCCCCACTTTGGCGAAGTAGATATATTGCTCACCTTTGGAAGTGTTGATCAATAACTATGCTCAGGACTTAGTCATGGTGAGTGATCCCAAGCTTCTTCGCCCTATCTAGTTTTTGCTAAATTCTTTTTTGAGATTTAAATGATGCTGATATGTATGTGTTGTGCACCACCAATACTATATGATGGGCTTGGTTGATCTAATTCATGACATTGGAGTGGTAATTAACCAATTGTCTGAGATCAACGACGATCTTCGGGCTGAGGTCAAAGAGATGAAGGTAGGGTTAGGACCTACTGCCATGATCGAGGCGAAGATGCTAGCAGTCGATTAGGCTGACAATTGGAACAGGCCAAGCGAGAGCTCAGGGACATTAACCAAAGGTTCAACGAAGCCAAGCAGTAGTTGACATATGCCCAAGGAAGGAATCAGGTCTTGGAGAATGAGTTGCTCGGGATTGCAAAAGAGTTAGAAGCAACTTGGGCTATGACTCGGGAAATGGAGGTGGCCTTGGCTGAGGAGCGACACCTTGCTCCTGAAAGGTTAAAGGAGGCATCAATACAAGGAGATGCTTGGGTTTCAAAGGGGATTAGAGAGATTGGGGCATGTCTAATAGCCCTAGCTCATTTCAAGGCCAAATATCTCAATCTAGAGGTCTAGCAAGACCCCTTCACCAACTGCCCAGAGGATGAGGATATCCTAATAGAGATCTAAGTTCCCTTTAACAATAGCCTTAACCCTTCTCCAGGCTTTGAGTGATGCCTCAATCATTTTGTCGTCATGTAGGACTACTTGCTTTGGTTTCTTTTGTAAAAGCTTTTCATTTTATGATTGATTGGGACCTTCTATTCTCCGCCCTCCCTCTCCTCCTCTCTTGGTGGTGTAAGAGGATAGTAAAAAGGAGCCGATCCTTCTTGATCACTATTGCAAAGTGGTGCGTGAAGACTATGAGGATTTGCATTGCAAAAGGAGTGTTGCCACTTCATTTATCATGTGGATCATTACTAGAGAAGAGGATATTTGACCTCCTTCATCCACAGATTTAGATCTATGTTTTTATGGATATATGATCTCCCCTAGGTAAAACATCTCACATGCGTTACATAGTTTTTTTATTTTATGTTTTTTTGCACACCAACTATTGCATCATGACCAACTATTATTCTTTAGGAAATCAGTTTTGTTTTTGTTTTTGTTTTTCTATTATGTATGTGATGCTCTATTAAGGTTTCCCAATAGTCAATGCTTAGTATATCCTTTAGTGACTAAGCAAAGATGTTTGCATTCTTTCCAAGGAAGTTGATTAGTTGAACATGATCCTTCTCGAGGAGTGTGGCCCCAATCTTCATAGCTCAGTTAGGTTGGGCCTTATCAAGAGAGACCTCAACAAGCTTCTTGGTAGGCTTAAGATGTGGCAGGGCCTTTGCGAGGTCTCATGGGTCTGTGCATGGTGACTCGGGATTCGCCTTCTTTAGTAGCAAGACTGCCATCAGGTAGCACTGCCTTGACTCCTGTGGGTCATTTCGTACTTCGCCAATGCTGGCCCGGGTTGGAAACTTCATTGCCCGGTGATATGTGGACACCATTGCTCTTAGCCGATTGAGGGTGGGGCGATCGATGATCGCGTTGTATACTAAGGGGACATCCACCACTATGAACCTGGCTATCAAAGTCTTAATGCATGATTTCTCGCCGAAGGTGATGTGCAAACTGGTAGTCCTGAGAGGACAGATGGAATATCCCGTGAACCTCATGAGGGCCAAGATCATTAGGGAGAGCTCCTTCTCCATCAGCTCAAGCTTCTAGAAAGCATCAAAATATAGCACATCGATGGAGCTGTCGGTATCGACCATTACTCTCTTTACTCGGGCATTGGCCATTTTGATCGAGATCACTAGCGCATCATCATGCTTAGGGTATTCTGCTTCCCCCCCTTCAAAGGTAATCTCAGGTTCTTATTTATTCCTCGGGCATTTCTCTATAGTCGCTGGGCATAGGCCTTTTGCCCAAAGGAGTTGTCTCCTCCTAAGGTAGGCCCATCGATGATAACATCTATTTGCTTTTCCATGGGGCTATTGGGACAAAGGGAAGGTTCTCGGGATTTACTGAGGAACTCATGAGGTGGCCTCTGCAGATGAATTCCTCATATGGTACTTTAGGTCTCGATACTCCTCCATGTTGTGGTCGTAGTCCCGATGGAATCAACAATATGTTGACCTATCCCTCTGCTCCGAAGGGCTCCTCATCGACACTAGTTCTTTCAAAAACCCCTTCTCCTTGATCATTTGGAAGATTTCTATCCTCGTCATATTGAGGAGAGACAAGCTAGACCTCAAGTGAGATGACTTAGGTCGATTAAGCCTTCTTTAGGGTGAACTGGAGGCTTGGGCTTAAGAGATGGCTCATAGCGAGGCCTTTTGTGCAACTCCTCCCATCGACCCGAGATCATTGCTTCGATGGCCACATATTGGTTGACCCTTTGGAGTGCCTCGGGGATGATTGCGAGTGACCTTTCATCCAACGACCAAAAGAACTAAGAGTGCCTTAGGCCCATTATGAAGGCCTGGATGACCAATGTGGGGTGAGCATCGAAAACCTCTCGAATCTTGTTAGCAAACCATGTGACAAAGTGAGAAATGGGCTCATCCTCCTACCTTAGGCCGAGTAACATTGTCGCCGACAGTTTCAAGTGCAAGTTTGCCAAAAAATGAAGCTCAAACTTCTTCATGAACTAAGCGAAAGATGACACTAAGAGTGGTTTTAGGTGGCTATAACATTCCCGAGCTGGCCCTCTTAGCGACATTAAGAATGCTCGACACATTAGTACATTCAATATGCCATATAACGCCATCTAAGCTTAGAAAGTCATTGTGTGTTCTCCTGATTCGAAGCTATTATCAAAAGCCTCCAACATCAAAAGGCAGAAGTTGGTCAAGAGGGGCTCCTCCTGGATATCTTGGATAAAGGGGGAGCCACTTGAGGTATGCTTGTTAACTTCCCCCTTTTATTGTTGGAACTCTCATTGTACCTCGTTCAAGTGCTAGTTCACCCGTCACAATTGGGCCTTAAGCAAGTCATCCATCAAATTTGTCGACTAAGTATGTAACCTAAGAAAGACTTAGGTGGTTTAATAGGGCAAGGGAGCACTACATTTCACATTGAGGAGTGCGGGTCCCTGAGTTGCCCCTTGGTTGACTAGGGGCAATCTTGGTGTGTAAGGGGTGATTCAATTAAGGTAGCTTCGATGAGTGTGAGAACAAGTGATGGTTGGACCGCTGGCCATGGTTATAGAATAGGCACTATCTGCTAAGCCAATTGGGAGAGGAGGGGAGCAATGGCTTGCATCACCCCGATAAGTGCCTACACCTGGTAGGTGAGATTTAGGAAGCCATCGATGGGGACCACCAGTTGTCTCAGGTTGGCTCCTGAAGTGGAGAACCCAAGGTCGTTGAATATGTACTAATAACATCTCGAGGTTTCGGTCGAAGTGGACCCGTCTACTTGCGAGTGGGTGGGCAGTTGCCCTTTTTGACTGAAGGCATTGTGTGAGGGTGGTGGAGCCTCCTCATTGGAGCACTCATTGAGAGGATTCATTGGTGGAAACTCTTACGATATTCAGCCTTCCTTCTAGCACCAAAAATGTTATGCACTTTTATATCATGGTTTCGGAGTTAGTACGGCTTAGTCCTGTCCTAAAAATATAGGGTCATCCAAGTGATTTCTTAAGGGGCAGAAGGATAGGGGAGTGAGGTCGGGCTGAGGAGGCCGACTTTAGCGTTGCGGTCAGACCTTTAAAGGCATTCCGAGATGGAGCTAAGGGATGCTTGGCCTACATTAGGATCCTGCATAACAGGCCAATGTCCGAAGAGGTTCCCGACTCGACCCCTTCAATGGTTAAGTCAGTGAGTGTAGATGTATTCTCTCTCTCTTTCTCATAGAATAGGGAATCGATATTTATAACTACGAAGATGACTAGTGGGTACGATGGTTGATAATGATCGTCAAAACCTTTTACGGTGTGATTGCATAGGTAGCTAACCCATACGCCCCTTACGATGTGAGTCAACCTGTTCGGACTCTTAGTGGCATAACATTGACCCATACAATCTCATATATATCGAGTCATGTTCTATGTTAGCTGCATGATAACTACCGGCTGGTGACATGTAGTTGGTGCGGTAATACTCCTTATCACTATACCAATGAATGCATTTCTCAAGAGTAACTCTCCCATCAAACATTTCTGTTGCTTTGCACAAGAAACGTTCTCTTTCATGTCGCTTAGTGATTTGGGTCCAATTTAGGCATATTTCATCAGTATCAAAGAGAAGAAGCAACCGAGGTAAGATTGAATTCAATATCCGGTTGATTGATTAGAGTGGCAGCAAATTCAATGATGCTCACACAGTGTATATTGAAAGTTTACATATACATGTGATTTCCCAATTTTACAGCCAACTTTACTTATTGAATGTTAACGGATCGGACTTTGCTTTAGTTTCTTATTTTATACAATTACATTATAAATAATTTATAGTTAATTAATTATACATAAAACTTCTTAACATAATTAGAGATTAATATTTTGAAATTAGCTAATTACATATTATCTCTTATAATTAATTACTTTTAATATCTTGATTTCTATACTTTTAAATATTACATTAGGATTTTTATATTTATGAAAATGAACCTCGTTTCTTATTATACTATCGACTCTATCGATGAAAATATCGTGCTTAGTAGTAAACCAAGGTGAAACACTCAGTGGTAAACCCTATAATATTTTCATTAGTAAAATCGACGACGTAAGAAAAAATATAGTTAAATATTTTATTTTTCATAAGTATAAAGATTTCAATATAACTTTTGAAAGTATAACGATCGAAATACTAAACATAATTAATTACATGTGATAAATATACTTAATATGTAACTTTTACATTTAAAATATAAGTTTATGGATTATTATTTATATAATTTTCTAATTTATTTAATATATATTTCACTATACACATGGTATTTAAACACTATTATTTGAGAAATAATTGTTGACGAGGTTGATGGAAGTTTGATAAAAAACAAAAAAAGAACATGTATATTATACATGTCTTGGAGACCATATTATTTACAATACAAACAATTAGCGAAAGATTAGTTGATCATTGCAATGCGACATCAAGAAAGCTTAACTAAGACAAGGCTTTGTCCTAGAAAATTATACATCACCCTATCAATAATGATACACTCAGTTAATAGCTGTAATCAACCAAACATGTGGTGGGCTTTTATTAATGCTTTCGATCATCGAAATGGCGCGTAGACTGTCGTTTTAGTTGGCACATGAATGATAAACTATAAGCTAAAACTTGATCATGCTTATACTGAGAATAAAATATTAGGCAAATATGAGTGTTATATATAATGTGCATGAGAAGTTTAGGGATATAATTTAGAAGCATTTGTTGGCGTTATACTACTTAGAACATGGCTAGCAGCGTAGAGATATGAAGGAATCAGTCAAACATTTGCCATTGGGCTGGTCAACCGCAAGAACAGGCACGACTCCTCATGCACACACTACATCGCGCACCTTCTTCCTTTGACATTCGATGAGTCAAGGGGCAGAAAAGACATTTCAGCCTCCATTACAATGTGGTTGCAAGATTCGAGTTGTTGCTGAGTTGTACGTGTTGACCTCTTCTTCCCTCTCCAGTGTCTCTCACCAAGACATCCTCTGTTACTCTCCACCATCTCCATCACCACCAGAGATCCATATAACTAGATCGAACTGAACACTTCTCGCCACCCCAAAGCTTGCTTGCTTCCTTCACTGAGACAAGTCGCACTCTTTCCCCCTCTCTCTCTCTCTCTCTCTGCAAGGTTTCAACCATGTCCAAGCTTTCATGGCGGTCCTGCGTAACAAGCTGCTGGAGTAACACTGATCAGAGCTCCGTGACGGAAACCAGGAAGGCTCAAACGACGGCAAGATCCCCCCAGAAGATGGCGTATTCTCCGCTGTCTTCCGAGGGCTTTTCCTTGAGCGTTCCGGGATCAGATCTTCATGTGTTCACCCTGGAGGAGCTGAAGGCCGCGACGAGGAACTTCTCCATGACTAACGTCATCGGGTCGGGCGGGTTCGGTCCTGTCTACAAGGGGTTCATCGACGACAATCTGCGGCCGGGGCTGCTGGCGCAGCATGTGGCAGTGAAGTCGCTGGACTTGGAGGGGTTGCAAGGCCACAGGGAATGGCTGGTGAGTGCTGGAATTCTACGGTGTTCTTAGGCCTCTGTGCAACTGACGTTTTTGCCTTTGCGTTAAACCCTGTTGTGATGTGTTGGTAGGCTGAGGTTATCTTTCTTGGGCAACTGCGGCATCCCCATCTGGTGAGACTGATTGGCTACTGCTGCGAAGATGAGCAGAGGATGCTGGTTTACGAGTATATGGCTCGAGGAAGCTTGGAGAACCATCTTTTCAAGAGTAAGTCTACTTTTCTCGATAAATAAGTCGGAGACTCTGATCTAATTTAAGCCCAAAACACTTTTGAGACTGTTATCAAGAAGATCAAGGTATTCAGTAGATGATCCTCTAAAATCTACATCGAGAATATACCCGATCTTTCATCCGATGATTAGATTTAGAGAATAATGGTCAAACTATGGAAGTGGTTAGCAAAATAAGATTCACATATCAATCTCATGATTTATCTATAGAGCTCATGTAGCTGACTCTAAATAGTTGGGACTTATTATATGAAGATAGACAAAGCTTAGAAGCAAGGGTGGGTAAACTGCCACATCAAAATGGAGTAGTTCGGAATTAACAACGGTGTTCGAGAGAGAACCTCTTCAAGGAGAAGGATAATGCCTTCATTAATTGGCATTCTATACATTCTTTATTAGGTGTACTGCGTTGGAACGTATTTCTGGTCAACATGAATTCATCTACGTATGTTCACAGGACTTCTTGCTTCGTTGCCATGGTCTACAAGGATAAAGATAGCAGTGGGAGCTGCCAAAGGACTTGCCTTTCTCCATGAAGCTGAGAAACCCGTTATCTACCGCGACTTTAAAGCCTCAAACATATTACTGGACTCGGTAAATTTCTACAGTTCTCGGCCTCGTAGATATTTCAAATAGTTCATGCAAAAAGATGAATCGTATTCAAGTATATATCCCAATTCCTGCGTTGGCTGGCTGGTATGCATTCACATAAATACTTTACATGAGCAAGCGTTGACTTTAAGACTCGAGCAAATGAAACCTGCAGATGCCAACTAAGAAAGACTTAGTGGTGACCTGTTATGATCCATCAGTTCTGAGTTCTAACTATATGCATTAGAATGGGCTATCATGTCATCAACATACATAGAATACCTAATATAATAAATACTTCAATGTCTGATCAGGACTACACGGCGAAGCTTTCAGACTTCGGGCTGGCGAAGAATGGACCTCAAGGAGATGATACGCACGTCACTACGCGAGTCATGGGAACGCATGGCTACGCCGCGCCCGAGTACGTGATGACCGGTAATAATGACAAGAACTGTAACGAGATGAGCAATCGATTCGATGCATCTCCATGAGGAAACGACCAACTCACAGCTCGTCGTCCCTCTCCAGGCCACCTGACGGCGAAGAGCGACGTCTACAGCTTCGGGGTTGTGCTCTTAGAGCTGCTCAGCGGGCGTCGGTCCGTCGACAAGAACCGGCCGAACCGAGAGAAGAACCTGGTGGAATGGGCGCGGCCGTATCTGAACAACCCCAATAGGCTCAGCCGCGTCATGGATCCCAACCTCGAAGGTCAGTACTCCACCGACGGCGCACGGAAGGCAGCGGCGGTGGCTTACAGATGTCTCAGCCTTAGCCTGAAAACGAGGCCTAATATGAGAGCCGTCGTCGAGGCCTTGGAGCCTGTCATGGAGTTGAACGACGTGCCCATCGTCGGCCCCTTTGTGTACACAGCACCTGAGGAGAAAGGAAACGATGGTATGGAGGAGAAGGAAACGGCTCCTGCAGCAAAGTGGAGAGGGAGTCGCCATGATCATCTCGGTGCAACAGATCATTCTATGGCCAACTTTAACAGGGATAGTGGTCTTCACAAGAAATCTCCAAAGCACCAACAGAGCTCCAGTTATTGGAATTAGGTTTGTCAAAGAAGGTTCAGTTTTATCATGCAAATAGAATAGAATACAGCTGAATTAAAGATCAATGGATCAACCGCTTTCATATATATATATATGATCTCCAGTTTTTTGGTTCATTATTACGTCAAATCATATGGGGTTAGGGAGGGGCGTAGTTATATGATGCCATGGTTGAGCTGCAGCCGTTTTCTGCTGCATAACTTCTGTAAGAAAGGGGAGAAGATAGTAAAAAAAATGAGAAGTACTTTTAATTTATTCAAAAATATGTATTTATATTATTCAAAAGGATAAAGTATAAGTTTTCTAAATAAAAAAAAAGTAATCATAATGAAACAAATATTTTCATCCTTATTTATTTATCTTAATCTAAGTTTATATCTTTTATTACATCTAATCCTAATTATTTGAATTAAATTTATCATATGCCCTTAATTCAAAATAGTTGCAACTTGAAGTTATATTTGAAAAAATAAATTTTTTTTGTCAAAACTTTTGTAAAGATATCGGTAAGTTGATCTTCAATAATTTTGTAAAAGTAATTTTTTCGTCAAAAATAATTTTTTGATGTATCATATGATTCTTCATTATTGTAATAAAAGATTTATTATCGTAATAGATTTTAGTTAGTCCAATTTTTTTAAAAAAGATTTAAGAGAATTATTCGAAGTCAAATTATTTAACATGCTATAATTGTCTAATTTTTTATTCCCTAAAAATATATCTAGAAGTGTGACGAGCGACATTTGCAATAGGATAGGAAATGATGATAGTTCACATTATTTATATTTATTACCTTGGGATAATATGATGCTCTCTAAGAGTGTTGGGGGTATAGGCATCATGGATTTACACATTATGAAATTTATTTTTGTAAGGGTGACATATTTTGTAGTATTTAAATGGGGATAATAACATATGGGCTAAGGTTGTTAGGGCTAAGTACGAGGATATCGAGTGTGGAGATATTTTTTATTATTATAGAGAATTTATGAAATCTTTTTTTAAAATTTATGGGTAATGACTCTATTTTATAATGTTACTGAAATTCAATATGTTTGTTTAGTTTCTGATTTAATATATAATGGATGGTGAAATATTCTAAGGTTGAAAATGTTATTTGGGAGTATTTTGTTAGAAACTTTTATATCATCCCACCTCCCCATTTTGGGTAGATTAGCCTATGCTAAGTTGTACCCTTTTTGTAATATAGAGTTGAGTCAATTTTGTATTATTATTATTTTTATTTTTTTTGCTAGTAGCTTATGGAATATGATAGACTTAGAGTTTCTTATCTTCTTTTCCAAATTGGATTAATGGAAAGTGAAAATTAATAAGGGTATACAAATTGATGGTAATTCTTGCTTGATCTTTGATGCTATTATCACTACTAGGCTTTGGTGATTATGAAGAGAGAGGAATGAAATTGTTTCTAGTGATAGATATAAATTGGTGTATAATATTTTTTCACAAAACGATTACTTTAGTCCTTACTCATGACATGTTCAAACAATCTAATAGTAGTAGGTAAAATTTAGTTCAAATGTAGGTTTCTTAGAGTAGACCTCAAGATGAATAGACCAAGTTTGATTGTGATGGTTCTATAGTAAATAATAAGTTCAATAGTATTGGTTTTTTGCTACAGATGATACTAGTGACCCTTTATTTGTTAGTGAGATGGATTATGTTCTAAGCTTAGAACAATGATAGATGACCCTTGTGTGGTTGTATAGGATGGAGTTAAAAGGATCCATGTGAAGTCTGATACTTAGCTCCTCTATAGGTCTAAAGGTTGTATGTAATGTAATTGAGGATATTTTGTATGTTTTTTATTCTTAGGTTATCTCTAACAAGTATAGAAAGAGACATGAGGCGATAAACTAGTTAGCTATATCTATATCTTTCCATAGAGGAGAGTGGCCCTCTCAATTGTCTCATTTTTTTTATATTTTAATTAATAGGGCTCCTTTTGTGTTTCTAATGCTTGACTAATATTTTTTAAATATATATATATAGGGTTTGAAAGTGGAAAGTGATTCATAAGTTCATTTTGTAAATAATATTTTTATTATTTCTCAGTGCTCTAATGTATTTGTTAGACTATATTTTGTTAGAATATTAAATTAAATTTTATGATTAAATAGAATTTTGATTTACAAGTCTTAGTCAAGGATTTTCTATCATAGTTAAAATTAAAATCTTGAGTTTATCCCTCTATAAATAAAGAGCTCACATAATATTTTAGGTATATAATTTGGGAGGAGAGATCGAGCTCAAATAATGCTCTAGATATATAATTTGGGAGGAGAGACAAGTTAGAGAAGATATTTAGATATTCAGAATTTGAAAACTTTTAGGTAAGTTTTTAGTTTTAAAGTATTCTCTATGTTTCTCTATGATTTTTTTTTATGTCTATCATCTTTTATAAAAAAAATTTAATATTTTTTTTAACATATTTATTCTTATGTTTAATTTTTCAATCTCTTCTCTATTTTCATTCTCTTGTTTGATTACCACCAATAAAACAAAATCTAGCTAGGAACAAATCACATACTCTCGTCTTCTTCCTCTATCTCGACCAACTATGATCATCGTTACCTTTATCCTCCTTTTCATCATCGATTACCCTAATACTCAATATTATTATATTAATTTAATCTAATTTATATTAATTTAAATATAAACTAAACCATATTAGGATTTAATTATATTTAACCTAAATTATCAAATTTAACTTATCATTCTAGTTTAAAAATTATCTTTTTAGTTTTGAAGATCACCAATTACAAATATATTATAGGTTTTATTTGGAATAAGTCATATATTTGAGATAGCATGCTTTGGTGACAATAATATAGTCATAAAATCCGGATGCCGATCAAACTATAAAAATTGAGAATTTATTGTCGATCAGCTTGATTAACTAATTAAACTATGAGTTTAAATGATTAAAATATTCTTAATTCATAAATATAAATCTTTTTAAGGGCACTTAAGTTTTTCCATATTACTGAGTTGAAATAGTTATACTCTCTTATATGATCCACTCCTACACCTCTCATTTCACTATGTTTTAAAAATGATAAGGTTATTTATATATTTTATAAATTAAATAAATTATATATTCATTTTTAAAATAAAACAAAGTACTAAATCTATATTCTGACTATTTGATTAAATGGATGATGAGTTTGAATGAAACTAATTAAAATTAACATATATTACAGATAACATCAATTCGACCCAAAAGTTAAGTTTTTTAAATTATAAGTCAAATCCAATATATATAATTTGACTCTCATAATTTTTTATCGACATGAGACTAAATTCTTAATTTTTTTTCTCTCACATATGAATATTTTTTAACATTATCGATCTAAAACACTTTATTGAAATGTATCAATTTAATTCTAATAATTATACAAGATTACACAATGTGTTTAATGAATGACATAACAAAGACGTGAATGTGTTAAATAAAAAATTTTATATTAGAGAATAATATTTTTTATTCAACTAGATGATAGCTGCTAAGATTTTTCTTGATAACATTTAAGATTTATCTAATTATACGAGAAAATATTATAATTATGTTGAGAAAAATCTCTCCACGTGTATAAATAGAGAGTATCATATCAAACACTTAAAACATATATATACGTACACATAGTTTTGAACACATCAATTATGTAATAGTACATTAATAAGATGTCTCAACGGAGATAGAACATATTTTTTATTAATATGATGAATTTTGTTGCTAATGATTCTATTTAATTCGGTAGGTGACAAAACACTTATCATAATCCAAATCACTTCGGAAACGACGTCATCTGGTCGTCACATATTTGAACGCCACAGAAAGCAATCTAAGGACAAATCTCCGCATGCACGCAACCCAATGACAAGATAAGCGTCCCGATCGACCATGACGGATACAGACGCAAGCATTGGAAGCCGGTCATGGATGGGTAGATCTGATGACGGCAAGTTGCCTTGAAGCTTGGCAATGTGTTCATGGCTATCTCGCCTCCACGATTCCTCCTACCCATTATATTTATGTGTATAGGGAACTTGATACAATGAATGGCACACAGACACCGGTCAGATCAAACAAGGACTGTTTATAATATATATTTCCAGATCTGCAGAAGAAAGCTGGACCAGCGGGAAATATAGAACAAAGAAGAGCAAGAGTGAGGCTATTCGTCTTCTCTCATCACCAGCCACCGGAAGAAGGACCAGTTCAAGTCTTGGGTTTGACATTTATCATTCCAGTGTGATATTTTTGACGTCACATCAGCAGTTTTGACTCGTTCATTCTCCATCTCTATCTCAAGCAGGACGGGCTAAGATTTCTGTATTTGTTTGACCGCTCGTGTCGTTGATAAGAAAAACACAAGTATAACGATATGGCTATTATATGCACCGTATTACGTGTAAAACAGTGACAAATGATGGATAGAATATAAGATTTCTTATTCAACTATACGATGAAATCTTTTAGAGGAAAATCTTTCCTTCTAATCTATATAAATAGGAAAGAAAATATTAATATATTTAAATTTTTTTAATTTTTTTAATAAAATTTCTTTAATAATTAGTTTTATCTTATATTATTTTCATCATGATATTAAAGCAGTGAGAAAAGCGAAGCTTCGCTCTTGTCTTCTCCTATGATCAAATCTTAAATGAAGTCTAGTCTACGAAATTATGATTTCGAAAAGAAATTATGTTCGTTTCTTACTTTGAAATATTGATATTTATTTTATGTTTTTAGTTTAGTTCTCTGTGAGCAAAAAAGGATACATGTTTTCATATCAACCTTGAATTTTCCATCCTTCAAATTGAAGCAATTGATGCAGAGTTATAATATTTGAGATTTCTCAGAGTCATAAGACTTCAGATGATTTTAAAGAATAAAAGAAAATAACTTGCTCTTCTCGTCAATGCTGGCACACTGTGGCATAGAATTGAGTGCACTTTTGTGTTTGACAAGATGATGATAAAGCTTCGGACATCTGAACATTAGTTGCAATGGAAAGGAGAAGTATTTTGTGACAAGTTATTACTTGGAATTCATGCTCTCACTAATCGCTCTGGTTCAGCAGTACCGGTAGACGAAGCAAGCGCCGCCACTCTCTTCCTCCTCTTATTTCCCGACAGTGGCGGCAAGGTTGAAGGCGGCGGAGGCGTCCCCTGCGAGCCGATCAGGAGCGGGAAGTTGAGCAACGCACGAGAGCCACGGATGCGGAACGCCGCGCGGTCGTAGGCGATCGCCGCCTCCTCCGCCGTACTAAACGTCCCCAGCCAGACCCTTGCCCCATTCCTCCCTGGGTCTCTGATCTCCGCCGCGAACTTCCCCCATGGCCGCTGCCTCACCCCCCGATAGTTCCTCCCCCTTTCTCGAGCTGGAAATGGGGCCGGTGGCGGCGGCATAGGCAGCGGCGGTGCACCCTGGGCGGCGACGGGGAACAACTCCTCGCTGCCGTCGCCATTAGCATCCGATGTCGGATAATGGAAGTCAATCATCGTGGTGCCGGCGGCAGTGATCGGCTCCTCGCTGCCATCGCCATTAGCATCCAATGTCGGATAATGGAAGTCGATCATCGTGGCGCCCGCGGCAGTGAACAGATCCTCGTCGAGGAGATGGCTGCGAATTCTCTGGAGGACGGCGAGGTCGGGGCACTGCTGTTGCGGGTGCGTTCCCATTGTGTGCGCGTGAGGTGGTGTATGCGATGAAGAAGATCGAGGGAGAGGCTGAGAGAAGCAAGCGATGTGAACTCGATTCATGGAGAGGGTGGGCAGGGGTTACGGGGAGTTGTTATATAAGGAGCGGTTCATTGCATCTTCCATGGTTTCGTCTGCCTCCAGCTTCGCGGAAGCTTCGGGTTGCTGGCGGTCGCGACCACGACTTCCATGTGCCGGATTTCCATTAAAATGCATTCATATTCTTCTAGGACCTTTGCCTTTTCAGGAAATATTTTGGTATATGAAGCAAGCAAATCTATTGAAAGGGTCAGTAGTCGTATTGGGCTGCGTTGCCGGCGATCCCTGGAATCCACACACACCTAACCGGTTGGATCGAGCCAGCTTCAACCATTAGATTAGATCAGATTGTTGGCTAGAGGATCAAATTCAAACTTTTCATTGTTTTGATAAGAATTGGTTTACTGACTTTTGTTTTGATAAGATTGAGTCTGCTGAACATAAGTCTGTATCTGTCCCTCCAGGAACTACTGAGACAGGCTATAAGTGACGAACACTTCTTGAGTTACGACAGAGTATATTATACCATGTTCTTCTTCAACACCTTGCTCAGTGGGTAGTAACTTCATGATATGATTAAATATCCTCAAATTTGTAGTGCTGTACCCATCAATCAGATCCATAAACAAAGACAAAGAGTAGATGAATTATCAGGCAGCTGCTCATCTTTGACATGAATATATTCTTATATCTTCATTTCGTTCATCAAATGAATATACAAGACATTCTTTCCTCCACAGGAAACCTTGTCCAACATGTCACAGAGAGAGGGAAGAACAAAAAGAGGCTTCATAAACTTGCAATCTGGTAAAACAGAGTAGAGTTATAAGATGAAAACTAAATGGACTTCACACTCATTGGTAAAGACAAATTACTCACTAGATTCTGTTAGCACTCACAAGAAAATTAAACACAGAGAGAGAGAGAGAGAAAAAAAATGTACTTCTATCTGACCTACTCAATTTTCCAAGCATGCAGTATCAAAGAAAAACCAAGGCCTTGCAGTTGAGGTTCCCTCAAAACCTGTGAACTAGTAGACCACGACAAAAGCTTCTCAGCTGAAAGGCAAGTTTGGAACATGAAGACAGCATTGCCAGTAGGTGAGCCGAAAAGCCAGCTATGAACATCCCAAAACACTTCTACAGGAAGACCGTCCACCAAAATCGTCTGGTTTCCGCGGAATTTCCAGGCCAGTCTCTTGATCTGCATCACCCGCTTCTTGTCGATGCATATCTCAAGGCAGGGATCCTTGAGCCCTACGGTGTCGCACTCTATGGCAACGTCGTGGAACTGCCCGTTGTCACAGAATTGAGCCTTCGTGGAGTAGAGCTTCTTGCCGTAGATGTGCTCCGTCTTGGCGACGAGCACCGCGCTCGATGGAGGAGGCCTTGCGTTGGTCCTCTGATAGGCTTCTTTGATCAGGTTGCCGAGGAGGAGGACCATCTGGTGGTCGAAGACCAGAGCGACGTAGAAACCTTCGAGGGGCTCCGGGCCTGGTCCGAACTTGGCGGCAGAGAGGTCCCAGAAAATGTCTATCTTGCTGCCCTCCATGTCCAGTGTCCTCGAGCCCTTCCTCTTGGAGAACAGCCATGGCTTGATTTCCACCCTGCAAGGCGGGCATTGGTTGCCGAGGTCATCGATTCCGACGCTCAGGCCTTGGCCCATCAGGTTCTTGCTCCATGTAACGTTGATCACCCGACGGCGGCCTAAGAGCTGAGCCTGGTAAAGGCAAGTTACCAGATTCTGAGCGGTCTTGCCGGCACCGGATGATGATTCCTTGGAGACCTGAACTCCACTTTCGCCGAAGCAAGAAGGGAAATCCCTCATCCTGGTGCCCCGACCCTGATCCGTAGAGATCTTTCGGATCCAATCACCGGCCGGGAAGCCACACTCGCCTCATCTGATCAGGATTGCAAGAACTCATCAAATAATTCCCGGGTTGTTCTTCTCAGGAACATGCCACGAGCAAGAAGACTGCCTTCTTTTCAGCAAAATCAAGTCAAGTACTCAAATCTCAGTGTCAAGATAGAGAACAGGAGGGTAAATTACATCAAACAGAATCCAAAGCAACAAAGCACGAAACACTATGCTTAGTGGAAAACCAGTGAGAAAGGCATCAAACACCTGAAGAAACGAAAAGCACAAGGAGACGTAAAAGAATGGAGACCGTCTACCTTATTCCATGTCAAAGGACACCGCACCACTGCAAGCTCAGTGCTGTCAGGCTTCCTGCTGCGCCTGCCCGTAGCCTGCTCCTGGTGATGCCAGAGAGAGTGAAGAGAAAGGGAGACAAGGCACAACTCCTCCTCCCAAAGCCAACAGCAAGACTGAGAACGTGGGCAGTTAAAAGAAAGGGGAAAAGGTAAAGGTGGCCGGTCAAAGCAAACCAACGGACAGTCGTTACTCTCTCTTTGTCTCAGCTAATGCCGCAGCGGTTATTCGTAGAGCAACTGTAAGTAAATGGGAGGGTGTTTATGTTTTCTTTTCTAACAAATTAAAAATACTTCCATTACGAGTTCGTGGGATGCAGCTCGAAATCTTAGTCTAATCCAACGACTTTTGTTTCTGGAAACAGGAAACACAAAAACGGAAACAACAGTACAAACGGGCCTTACGCTGCAAGCAAAGCCGCCCACATGCAGAGTCACGCTCTAATGGATCCCAACAAAAGGAGCATTTAAAATAGGAGTAACACTTCTGTAGACGGCAGGCGAATGGAATAAGGCGATGATGGTGTCATGGTTGTAACGTAACAGCAATCAATGACAGGGAAACGTTTTTTTGTGGGACGAATAACTGCACCCACGAGCTGGCACATTGCTTTCAGTAGCCCCACATGAAATGGGACGGCAGTCCCCAACAGCCATAACTCGAGTCACCTACACCCCAACCCACGCCAAATTAATAGTGTCTATAACACCGATTGGTCCACGGACGTGACGATGCTGCGTCGGTCTGTCCTGCGGCGGTGGGCGTAGTCGATTCCGGGGTAATGACTGCAGCATTTGACTCGACCCGATCGGGCTTGGATGGGTGATTCAATACGAAATGATTGATGGTGAGTGAGGCAGGGAAGAGAACGAGGTCGACGCTCTGCTACGATAGCAGCCTGCGACTGTCGATAGTATGGATTTGATGTGCAAGTAATTCAGACTGTAATAAAAGAAAAATATCAACATCGTCGATTTCCTCCCATCTGAGAAGCACGGAAACGATGTCAGGCTAATAAGGAAGGAAATTAGACAATGGCAGTGACGGGGTGAGACTATGTAGTGTGGAAAGTCATCTACAATAATTGGGCGGCATTAGAGTTGCAAGTCGACGAAGAGGACGACGACGAGGTTCACGAGGAGTGCGTCCTTTCTTCTTCTAGCCCCAACCTGTTTTACATTTGAACTCGAGGACAGTCTTCGCTACCCCGCCACCTTCCCTCACTCTCAAAGTCTCCGTTCTTTATTGCCTCTCTGGTCGGTCTCCTCGATAAGCTAATCTTACACTGCTTACTTGTGATACTTATATACATCCGATCCCCACTCAATCACACGGCACGCGCAGCAGCAGCAGCAGCTGGGAGAGTCTCTGCGTCCTTACTCCTTCCTGTGCGCAGTACAAGGAGGATCCTCTTGGAGGAGGAGATGGAGGGTGGCGTCTCGTTCTGGCAAGCGTTGACACTCTCTTCCATTTTGGGGTGGGTGGTGGCCTCGTCTTGGTTTGATCTCACCAAGAGGATAAGATCCCTCGCGCAGCCATGGGTCACCCGCCGCGTCCTCGCTGATACCCCTTCCATCCTCTGGCTACAGGCGAGTCACGTTGCCACGGTCTTTAGTTTCATGTACCCGTGAGCAAGAGCTGGAGTATCTGCAACAAACAAAAGCTGGATTGCTCGAGTATTTCTTATTGGATTTTCTTTCCTGACGACTATATTAATCTGTTTGCAGAGCATGCGACATGGTTTCTTGGACTGTATCTTCTCGGTGCTATCTTGTTTCGTTTCAGTGCCTTTCTACACAGGATTTCTTCCCGTCGTCTACTGGGTGTGTGATCTTGCTGCTCCCGACTCACTCACTGATTCATGTGTTAGTTTGAATCAACTCTATTGATCGAGTTCATTTGTTTTCCAACAATTGGTAGAGTGGGCATAGGAAATTGGCGAGACAAATGACGCTCTTGATGGCGTTCTGTGATTACATTGGAAACTCCATAAAGGTATTTGGTGTGTTAATGTGCTGCTACCAGTTTGCTGATCTACTGAAACATCGCATTTGATGAACACAGGATGTAGTATCAGCTCCTAGACCAAGTTGTCCTCCTGTGACAAGAGTGATGGCCACAAATGATGAGAAAGGGAATGCCATGGAATACGGATTGCCGTCCTCACATTGTCTCAACACCGTCTGTCTCTTGGGGTAATTTCCTCCTCCAGCACCTTAAATACCAATTCCTTCCCTTGCATATGATTATATTAATGTAATTGCAGATATATGTTACACCATTTTCTGACACATGGTGCCAAGATCGATGCCATCATTCCTGTAGCTTTTTTGGGTTTAGTTTGCCTCCTTATCATTTCAATCGGCATGGGTGAGTTCCAGTTTCTTTCATCTTGTTGTCGTGGTCTGGGATGATGTAGTGAAAGCTCTTTTGGTTCTTTACACAGGGAGGATGTATCTTGGCATGCACAGCTTGACCGATGTAGTGGCTGGAATCATCTTTGGGCTTGTAATTCTTGCTCTATGGCTCATGATCCATGAATATGCCGATGACTTCATTACATCCGGGCAGAATGGTAAGCTAGATTGAGACATCAAATGCTATTTTCTTTTTCCTGGTATCATAAAAGTAATGCTTTTTCTTTTTATTTGTTGTTGCAGTCGCATCTTTCTGGGCAAGTCTATCTTTCCTGCTGTGCTTTGCCTATCCGACTCCGGAATTTTCTACCCCAAGTTTTGAATACCATACAGCATTTAATGGTGTTGCATTCGGACTGGTAAGCACAAGCATTTTGTCCTCTGTCATGCGCGTGCCATCTATATGATGAAATGTCACTGAGATCTATGTACTGAAATTGACTCATTTTTCATACATTAAGCAGCAGTCATGATGATATTATGACATCTTATCCAAATGATATGCGCACCAGTCATCAAATCTCAAGTATTTCTTAGCTAGTCTATCATTCTATCAGAGAGAATACTTGTCAAGCAATCTGAACTTTGAAATGACTTCCTCGATGCCATCCAGGTTGGTGGAATTCACCGACACCTCCATCCTCAGCATGGCGGTAATCCATCCTTATTTTCTGGACTCCCGGTTGTGGTCTTCTTAGGAAGACTGTCGGTTGGCATTCCCACAATGCTGGTTGTGAAGTTCTGCAGCAAGGCAGTAGCTAAGTGGCTGCACTTAGCTACTTCCTGTGATGTGCAACACTTTGGGCATCCCGATAACATCGTCACGCTATGTCCCAACGCTGAAGGGGTCCCAAGGCAGCAAGAGCAAATCTGAGAGTAAGCAATCTGGATGTCTTCTCCCTCACAAGGCATATGATGTCGACACCGGAATAAGGTTTCTGCAGTATGCTGGCCTCGCATGGTCTGCGGTGGACTTCGTTCCCGCGCTCTTCGCTCGTCTCAACTTGTAGCCGTTGTACAATGAGATGTCTGTATGATACTTGTCTGGTACGTACGTATATGGGAACCTCACATTTCTTGGGTAAAATAGTATAGCTGCGAGTGGGTTAGACGTAGTTGTTCTTATGGGTGTTCCGGTTCGAATCGAATTAAATTGGCTTTCGATTCGGTTCGGTTTAAGTAAACCGGTTTAGACCTATCTAATTGACCCGTTCAATACCATTTAATTCGGTCCGGTTAATTGATTTATAAATTTAAATAATTTAAATATATGTATATTTAAATGAATAGGTTTGATTTAATAAACTAGTACGATTCAATTAGAATCTTGGTTCAATTGAATCGAAATTAGATCTATATCATTTATGAAATTGTAATATTAAAATTATGTTACGTTTATTGATATTTTTAAATTAAAATTAGTTCGATTTGATCCGAATTAGTTAATTAAATTGAACAAAAGTATCTCGAATCAGAACCGTTTATTGCCTCCAAAGTCGATTTTGGACTAATTTCGATTCAATTTGAACACTAGTTGTTCTATTATAATTTCGCAAATACATAAGTTCAGACTAAGCTAGTAAAAACTTTGATAGATCATAACAATAAATAACATAATATCATGTATCATCATGATGACTATTGCTCTCTATTATCAAGATATCGCTTAGATTGATGTGGTTAGAGATGATAATTGATCAACAACCCCCGATCATATTGCGAGCTTTCGTGCTTATAGCAATGATGACAAAATGTTAATTTTTTTTTCTTCTTACGTTTATGATTTTTCCTATATTTATGAATAGGCAAAATTTTGTAAGCTCACTCAAAATAGATAATTCCTTATGAATTTTCTTTCTTTCCTTCTTACATTTATGATTTCATCTATATTTATGGATAAAATTAGGATTCTCCACATTATGATGTATATTCACAAGTATCTATAGATTTTGGGATAAGATCAATTTCTATTTCTTAGATTATAATGATCCTTATAAGTCATACATCCTTGTCAATGCCTATCATAATTCAAATTAGACCATGATGGTATGATACATGTAAGGCGTAGCCCAATGATAACTCAACGTCATGAATAGTCCTATGACTTCATCCATAGATTATCTTTTCCTACTCAAACTCCCTTATCATGCTTAAATATTTGGTCGATCGTAATATCAAAATATTTAAGTTAAATATTTTTATTTGACATAAACCATTGATAAAAATATTTAAGTTAAATTAGTAATAGTACACGCATTTATAAGTTAACCTTAATTTTATCCATTTTTTATGTAAGACTAATCGAGGAGTTACAAGAATACATATCATTATTTTTTTCTTTCATATTTCTTGTTTTTATTATTTTCATTATCTCTTTATCATTTTTTAGGATTAAGAAAAACTAAGCCTATTTTAATCTACATTATTTATTTATTTTCTTCTAGACTTAGAATACTTTTGATTTGGATAAGTTCATTCGTATGATGCCAATTCACAAGGATTTGTAGATCTCGTATTTTTGGATATAATCTAAAATACATGCATCAAACTTTTTTTTTGTGAGGATTTAAAATGTACAAGATTAAAGTCTAGAAATTTTCATAGTCATATTGTTAATTTTGGAAAGAAAATATTTTAAGAAATAAAAAAGCAAGGATCTATCTTATTCCATGTTTGGCCGATTATAGAAAGCACATGATCGAAGAGCAAATGAAAGAGGCCATAAAAACAAAACCTATAAAAGGCAATTTGATATATAAGGATATGTCATTTATTCTTGGAATAAAGATTTTGAAAAGATATGGTAATCCAAATAAAAATAATTTGTCCCCATCACAAAATCCATGCATATACCAAAAGAGGTTGCTAAAGAAAATATATTATTAGGAAAGTTGATGTCTTTTCGTAGCCTATTTGGAAACAAAATGAAATAATTGGTTAGAATCAATTAGATTCCAATTTGTTGTATAAATACCATCATTTTGAGAGGATTAAGTAGAGAACAATGAGTTTGTCTCTTGCTCGGCTTGGTGTTGTTCCAAATGTTAGTCTTGCCGAAGAGTTCTTGTTTTATGGTGTGTTGGATTGTTGCACACAACCCTACTAATGAGGTTGAGAGCTCGATCCCAACATCACTCCATCACCTTTTTATAAGGTGAGATATCTCAAAATAAGTTTCTTTTCTTTTTTCTGTTCAAGATAATCGATTGCATGAGATTCATTCACTCTTTCTCTAAGAAAACAAATATTAGAGCAATATTAACTTGTATAAAGTAATGTTATGTTTCTTTCTTGTGATAGGAATTAGAAGGCAAAAATTGTTTCTTATTCTATTTAGATCTTTATGTTTCACTTGTTTAAAATTGTTTCTTATTCTTATCTCTCATGAATAATTCATTTTTATTTTTAGTCGGTCTATTCATGATAATGCTTTTGTTGTTTAGGAGGCGACACACTCCTTGTTTAATTCGAAGCATATGAATCCTTATCATTCTCAAACTTGATTTAGAAAAGACTTATTTTTTGCTTTACACTTTGCTAGGTTCCTTGTCAAATTTATTTCTCCGTTGCATATTTGGTGAATGGGTAATCATCTTACATTTTTAAAGGGAGTAGGGATATTTATTCGTCAACAAGATCCAATTTTTTCTTATCTTTGTTAGATTTTTGTGGTCCTTTATAATTGGATAAGATATATAATATAACTAATTGGATTCCGTTGAAATGTTTTAGCTAATAGAATAGAAGTCCATTTAAAGTAGGATTCATTAAAAGATAATGAATCCTAATATTTTATGCTAGACCCTTTGCTCTCGTCTATAAATAGACAAGACCTTTATGGACTAAGGGCACGCACAAACGCACGTCTCCTTAAAAACAGTGTCGTATTTGATTTCAATCGTTATTTCCTTTTAATACAGTATATTATGGATTCTTATGCTTATAACCTTTACATCCTTTTATCTTTGATTATTTCCTAATCAAAGATACTTGTGATAGGTGATTTGTTTGCCTCTCTTCCTATGAAGAGGAATAGTAAGATTTCCCACTTGATGTAGTTTGATGATATATTGTTATGCTTTTATGCCAACCCTCGATCTCATCATATATCCTTCGAATTTTTAATTACTTTGAGTCGATCACTAACCTTAAGATTAAGGTATCAAAATATGAGGTCTTCTTCCTTAGATCAGTAAGTACGAGGTTAGGAAGAAGTTCTTTGTCAGTTCTTTGTGCATTGCATGTACTTTCTGCTCGTAGAAGGATCAATAGATCTAAGGTTATTGGACATGTCCAACCTATTTTGGACTTGGATCGCGGTAGGAGTTGCTCTTGTCTCATGCTGGTAGGGTTATCCTCATTAATTCTCATTGAATTAATTATTTGTTCAAGTAGAATACGTTGATGGATGATATTAAATAGTTGATTGTCTATATATCTCACGATTCCACTTTTATATCTTGAGAAGAATTTTGTTTCATCAGTGCAAAACTAATTTTCTTTTAGGATAATGGAACTTAAATTAAGCTTCAGAAATGAGAAAGTATTCCGTCACGATAGATAGAAGATTGAGAAAAATATTTTGACTAGTAGTAAATGCTTCCAGAAAAAATTTGGCAATGAGATTTCTATCCGTACATCACAAAGTCATATTGTTTACATAAAACCTAGAAATTAACAAACATAATGTTGAGGATTTCAAGATGGCTACTTGCATTCAATATATTCTTGCAATGTTTTTTTTGTATGAAATATATATTCTTAATGATTTAAAAAATATTTTTTATCGTGCCGTAATAGAGACATGAATGACATACAAACTTTTATATCAACCTGTGTTTATCTTATTGTCAAAAATAGATAATCAATCTGTCGACGACAAAAAAAAGAGTTTCCTTTCATAATCAATCTTTAGGCAATAGAGGGAATGAAGACCAAAAATCTGCACATACATATTCAGTAAAACTTTGATACGAGTTCTGCTAAAATGCTATGTTTTCTCTGTTACAACAAAATAAAACGTCGACCGAATCACAACATAACACAGATATTGATACAAGTTCTGCGAAAATGTTATGTTTTCTCTGTTACAACAAAATAAAGCCTCGATCCAACATCCCTTTGTTTCACAACATAACACAGATATTGATTTGGTGCTCTGCTCGTACGAAGCAACTGTTCTTTGGACCCTGTGCTACTACATTATATTCTTCATGAACAACAAACTACCTGAAAAGTTGTTTCAAACAAAATATATTTTGGTCCCTAACTGGTTGAGCATGTGTCTACTTGCACTGGCTCAGGTGAAACTTCTCGTCTGATAAGAGTGATAGCATAAGTCGTTCTATCTTGATTGCACCAGGACCCGGCCGAAGGATAGTGGTATTTCCCACAACCAGGCAGGGGTCGCTACCATTTTTTCTACTCCCTGCACACCACCCTCCTGGAACAATCATGTTTGGCCCACGAAACAAGAGCTCAGCGTCTATCTTGTCGAGTACAGGATCGTCCCTGTGGAACTTCCGAGCAAATGGTGCATTGCCCTCTACCATGCGTGACATATCATCCATGGTGAGGTAGTGAGGATGCTGCTTGGGTGGATTATCCCATGAAATGAAGTGAAGGTCATGGTTGACCGTGGTATTGTGGAACTCCTGTGCATTGCATATGACAGTATGAAAGTAACCTTCTGGAGAGGAGATGAAGTTGGCATAGTACATGAGAACAGCTCTTGGAAGGTTGTCCCAGCCCCATATGCAATAGTCGATGAAGGAACGTGAGAGAGCCATCCATGCAGAACCTGCAGTAACCAGTGTGCACACTCATTAAATTATTATCTGCATTTCAGCATGTAGATTTTTTTTAATTATTATCTGAGTAAAAGAATGAAACAAATGTTATTCTTTAAGGTTGCCTACCAGGGCCAAAGCACAATAGGTCACCGGCCTTTATTTAACGGGAAAAAAAGCATTTAGCAAGATTATACTTAACATGATGGGGCAGCATATGAACCAGATACATACCATAAAAACATAGTATACGGCTCTTTGTCGCTACAGTCAACCCAAAGAAATATTTTTGCCAATCACAGACCAATAGCTTGAATTGGTAACTGATGCAATGACACTGTTGGTGCCTCTGAATTAAACAATCTTCATAAATTTGTAGGAAGTCCAGACAAAGAAAAACTCCCTAAACCAAGGACTTCAATGTCATTCGGATTGATACATACCAACCAATATCCAATATTTGCTGGTCAGGAAAAAGTCGACACACAGACCACCCCTTTTCAGGCAGTCTAGGGGCAGTATAAGGTTAACACCCAATAACCCATGCGACAGGGCCTGGATCGGGCAATAGGCCTGGTTTTTTATTTTCTTTTTAACATTAGTGAAAAATCCTAATACCTCGTCTGCCTCTCTCTCTCACACATGATTTCTCCTCTAGCTCACCTCTTCCTCCTCTTATTCTCATTCTGCACCTCCTTTTTCCATGATCAATACAGATCCATTACTTGAAATTATATTCTGTGTTCCTAGTACTCAACATGGATCCTTCTTCTCAGTACTTGAAATTGTATTCCTTGCTCAAAACATATATAGCACAGTGACAATATCCACATGTCACAATTAGGAAATGATGGGAAAAGTCCTATGATAAAAATGAATGGAACAGAAGGAAAATTGTTTTCTGAAGATTAATTTCTAGAAGAGTAGATGAGGTCATCACTAACAGCCTGGAATTTGTCCATCCTTTAAGTCAAGGACGACAACACATTACTGCAATATCCATGGACAGGGTCCTATAGGGCCATGAATTGGAGAAAATAATTATTAAAATAAAGAGCTAAAAAAACCATGGGTTAGTGTGACATCAAAAAGAGAGATTAGACACCTTTTTGCTAAACATAAAAATATGATGTGACTAGCTGAGACAACATATACCTTCACCATAGTAGAACATAGTCTTGGAGTTGAGGACCTAGAAAAGATGCTCTAACAGAACTCATTGACCATCTAACAAAAGACAGTGACAACACCATTGATTGCTCAATTGCTGGACTGCAACAGCGAGAACAACAGCTCAATTCTTGGGCCAGAAAACTCTAAGATCTAAAATTGTTAACAATGCTTTGGTCTCAATCACACAAATTGGTTTGTGATGCAAGAACAATCATCTTGTAATATATTTCAATATAAATTTAATTGGTGATATGAGGAGTTAGTTTATTTTTCTTCAATTTCGTGAATTTTTTTTTGTTGCTTAGGAATCAGCTTATTTTTCTTCATTTTCGTAAGACTTTTTGGTTGCGTATTTAATGTACTGGTGTAGGCTTTTGAGTCCTATTTTGAGCAGAGTTGGTTCCTTTGAGTTATCATTCAGTACACAACTTTCATGTGTTCCATCACATATCTAGTGGTGGAAAAACAAAACTACTTTCTTAATTGGCAAGCTTCTGCTTTATATAATTTCTCATGGATATTAAGAGCTTTGGTTGATAATTAATCAACAAATTTCCATGATGTTGTATCTCTCTATCCATTGATTCTCAAGAACATCTAATGATAAGAAATGACAACTCTGATTTTGGTAACAATTAGAAAGTTTTTTAATTCAAACTTTCGGTATCTAGAAAACCAAATATGCTAATTCATAACTCGAGCATAAGATAAATCAATTATGGCCATTTTCTGCAAGTTCATGTCTTGAACCTCTCTGAAGATAGAGAACATTATAGATATGAGATTTCCATAATGTGCAGACTCCACCAAAGTCATATTGCCTCTAGCAGAACATGGCAACAAGGAGATAACATATAAAAACAGTAAACAAGCTGAAAGTTAACTTAAGTACAAATAGTACATTCATTAAAGAGTTCTTCTCATCAGTATTGTCCCTGATCAAGATAATTATCTTAGAATTCTAATAGTAACAAAGATTGAACAATTATTCCACAAGATCATTATCGTTAGTTGCTAGATTAAAACCATCTCAACAAATACTGATGTTGACACTAATCCCCCAAAAGAACTGAGTAATCCTTCTGTAATATGCAATCACAATTCTGAAAGAACTGGATTGAGAGACTCCTTTTACCTGTAAACAGTTTGAATGCTGTCGGTACGCTTCTCCTCTGCGGGATCCAAAAGACATCAGATTTCTTCGTCATATACAACCCTGGATCTATAATTACGGGTTTCGCCCTCTGGAACCTACACAGACAGATCGAAACAAAAAACTTATGATCCAAACAAGTCAAACTCAAAAGCACTATCACACATACTCCTTCCAACCAATGTCACTGGTATGATCGATGAAGTTGAGATCCCTCGGCAAATTGGAGAAGGTGTGCAGCAGATCTAAATCCAAAAACCAACAAGCCGACACCCTTTACTTCGTAATCCAAGGAAAAGAACAGAAATTGACCCAAATTAGGAAAAGAAGAAAGAAGAAACACAATTACCATCTTGGGTGACGAGGGGGTAATCCGAAGCACTAAGATTAATGAACCAATCCCAATCCCCACCCTCCCGCAGCAGAATAGCCGCGGCATGGAGAGTGTTGGCAACCATGGTCGGCCCGCGGTACGTGACGAGGTTAGCCTTGGTGATCATCCTCACGTTCCCGACGGCCGTGAAGAGCGAGTGGCGGGCAATGTAATCCCTCACGTCTTCACGCTCCTCCACGGGGGCCTCCAGATCAAGGTGGACGACGTAGCGGTTGGCGGGGTGGTAGAGCGCGAGGAGGACTCGCTTGAGCATGTTGCCGTCACCGACAGTGCCGGAAATGAGGTAGGCGAGGCGAGGCGGCCGCGGCGAGGCCGTGCTGAGGCGGACGGAGGGAGGGGCGGGCCGGAGTTTGGACTCAACGAAGACAGGGGCGTAGAGGGCGGCCAAGGGGCTGGAGGGGTGGGAGAGGAGGGCGGAGGGGAGGAGGGAGAGGGGTAGGAGGGCAAGGGGGGCGTCCGGGGAGGAGAGGGTGGTGAGGAAGAGGAGGAGGACGAGGGAGACAGTGGCGCCGACCGCCAGGGGAGCGATCCACTTCCGGTCCACCATTATCGCCGCCAACCTTACGTGCAGGGGGCTGAGGGCCACCTTCATCTCCAGATCTGCAATCAAGCCGTCGCCCTCCTCTCTTCCACTCTCATCCTTCTCCAAGAAGCCGAGGAAGAGGTAGGGTTCGATCTATTTCTTCCGCCGATGAGAGCTGCTCGATTACGAGATGCGATTTGTACTTTCGTCTTTAACCATAAATACGTATCGATGCAAATTTTGTTGCTTTATGTCCGAGCTGACTTTGTTTGGCTTTGGGCGTTCGATTAGATGAGACGGGTGTGCGCTTCGGACAAATTCCCGAACCAAACTACATATCTTACCCGTTGATTGACGCCACCCAACCTCTCATCCGCTTCTTCATTGGAGGCCAGAAATGACCCCACAGGTGGGTCCAGGCTTTTAGATCCGATGAGTACAGTACCGTTGGATTTCGAATCCAGCAATTGTGACATATGGATCGATAGATTTGAAATAGCCCGAGGCACGTGACTTTTATAGCATCGTCCTCATCCGCCATTATGGATGAGAGGCCACGAATCCTTCCAAACTCTCTCTGTGGTGGCTGAGACCAATTTTCTATTAAAACTTGCCAAATTTATAATTGGTATATTTGTTCTTCCAATTTTAATTTTAAGATCCTTCTGCTTAACATATGCAATCCATCTTTAAACGTACAAAAAATGTAAAGATATTAATATGGATTAAGATTTTAATTATCAGTAAAATGAGAGCTAATTGATAGAGATTAACTGCAAGTTTTAAGATCCCTCCCTTGTTACTGTGTTAATCCAATTCCAATCGAACTTGCACAAATCCACTAAAAATGTAAGCAGCAACTTCTAAAACAATCATTCCACAAAACATCTTTCAAATGATTGAGCACAATGTCTTATTTATATATGTGAAAAGGAAGAATTTTTCTCAACTGTCCAACGAGATTTTCATCTACAGTGTCGATATGGTAAGATTGAAACATGGTTCTACCTCAACTTATCACTGAGAACTCTACCGGAGGAGGAGGAGGAGGAGGAGGAGCATATCCAGGATCAACACCAGTCTTCTCGGCAGTATCTCAAGTTGACATGCAGATGAAGACTGGCCAGGAGCTGGACTTCCAGTATCAGTTGTATTCTCCTTTGGGCAAGCATAATTGCAGCGGCTCGGTGGGACAATCCTGTACACTCCCTCGCTTGTAAGAAGGAAAACATCCTTTCTATTGTCCTCACCAAATGAGTATATGAATCCCAGGGACGGGAGAGGACTTCCAGGAACCGTATCACAAGGAATAGGAGAGTTTTTGGCACAGTTGAAGGGAATCATAGTGCTGGTGTAGTTTCCGCTGTTTTCTGGGACCTCTATTCCTGCCCACATGGCTCCACCATACAGATCTGCATATAGGTACCTAAACATGCCATATGAGGAGGAACAAACAGTCAAGCAATCCAGCAAGAGGTAATCTTTGAAGCTGAGAATTCGGCTATGGAATTATTCTTGAGTTCTTGGTTACCTTCCATACATGCAGGGATCTGTCAATGATCTGTAGACATAACCACCGGTGATAGATGCAGAGCCCATAGTGGTGTTTATATCGGAGCGGCTGTAACCCATAACAGGGAGGATTGGATTTATGGAGCCAAGTGATGTATTACCTCCGGGAGACCGAGGTGGATGATAAAGATAAGGTCCCTCGTAGACTCGCCATCCGTAGTTTCCACCCTTTGAGATCAAATTTACTTCTTCGTATGATTCCTGTAGTTGTATTGGTGCCAGTTATCAGAGTAATTGAGAGATGTTTTTTGGACCAGGATTGTGGATACAATTGGAAGAAGGTGACAAGAAATGTAACATATCTTCTATCAGATTAGTTTGTGGGAGGAAAGATAAGGACAAGGGGAAGAAAAGTTGAAGACTTTGAGAAGATGAGAAAGAACATAATCGAGATCAAATCGAACAAGAGTTCCTCATGGTAGCACTCTTTCTACCAGCAAAGATTTATTGGATCAAAATATGATGTTGACAATTTTGTTCTCAGTTTGTCAAATCCAAGGGTTCATATAGTTCATAAGAATGATAATTTTGATGGTAGTTTTACTTCTCAAGAATCAATACTTAGATACAAATTATAAGTATCGATTCTAAAGAAGTAAAGCATGCTGAAAGTAAATGGAACAAATACCTGGCCAACATCTGCACAGAAGAAATAAGATGGTTTTTCTACATAAAAACTGCAACGCCATGGGTTCCTTAAACCCAATGCCCATATCTCAGCCTGTAGTTCGCTATCAACCATGTAGGGATTATCCTTTGGTATAGAATAGTTGCCCCAGAGACCAAGTTCACTTATTTGATTCTGACCTAGAATGGATGATTAGCAGTTAGAAGAGCTGACAATGATATTACGTCTGAAATGATGGAAATTTAACAATGGCCTAGTCAACACAGGTGACAGATTCTTTAGAGATGACAGTTCTATAAGAAACACGGATGATGCAGTATTTGTGAAATCTAACCAAAGAATTAATAATGTGATCACCAGTTGCAAGAGAAGTAGAAGAAGAAAAGACCTAAGTTTGTCCAGAGACTTACTCTGCATGTTGTTTATGTCGAGTCGCATGATTTTTCCAAGCATTGCCTTTTTGTTTTGAGCAAAATTATAAGGATCTCCTATATTCCCACCATCTCCCATCATAAGGTATAAATAGCCATCTGCAGGTCCAAAGAGAATTTGGCCACCATGATGAGCCATATATGGAAGCCCCATAGTAAAAATCCTCCTCACTTCTAATGGATTCGCGCTTGATGCCTAAATTTAAGGAGCCAGCTGAATTAGTAACTTGAACTTTGTAATCAATAATATAGGTTTAGATAAAAAACCACAGAACAATAAAGAGAAAATGTCTTCATTTAATTGAAGAGGATATGAAGATATATACTGTGGAGGGTGTTGTCGAGGAATCATTGGCAGTGAACTCAGCCACAACGGTTTGGTATTGACATGGTTGGGCACCATTATCAGTGCCAAGTTTTGAAGGATCACAGCCTATATCAGAGTTACATGAACATCTTCCAGAACAGGTTGCCGATTGAAGCTTATCGCAGTTGTACGAAACGAAAAAACGTCCATTTGTTGTGAAGTTTGGGTGAAATGCCAGACCCATTAGACCAAGTTCAGTGTCAAAGATGACTTCATCAGTTAAATCAAGAAATGGGTTCGACTCATCGAGTTCCAGTGTTCCACCTGATCCATGTTCTGGAATAGTTGCCAACCAAATTTTGCCAGCTTGGTTTGACAGGAAAACACGATTTGATCCATCAGGGTGACCAACCATGTTGAGGTAAGATCCATTTCCAATTCTCTCAAGACATAGACCTTTAGGAGTTGGTGAATCTGCGATGCTGTTGAATGAAACTGAGTCACCATTGAAGCATAGAGTATTATCTCCAGATGATCCTCCAAATGCTTTACAAAAGTCTGTTGCAGATTGCCAGATATCAGTAAGTTTGGATGAAGAAACTGGGAGCCCAGCAAAAGGAGAATTCCTTGTCGAAATATCTTTGCAAGTATCCCACACTTCTCTACAGAAGTCTTTGCTGGAGTTGTTGTGCAGAGAAGAGCTTGCTGAGCCAGTAGAGTTGCAGAGATATGGAATTGTTCTTGTCCTTGGTTCAGTTCCGAACAACTCAGCTGAATATGGATCGCATTGCTGCAAGACCAACATGGCAAGGCATGATCACATATCACATGAATTATGTTTCAAATTAATGGAACCACACACTGATGATATGATACAATTATTCTGCATATAACTAGAATGAATAGTACTTGACGCTATCCAATTGATGTAGCAGGAAATGTAACCTGATTTTGTATTTAGCAGTACCTGGAAAACCTGAAACCTTACCGTTTATTTTCAACTACTGCATCTATGAAGGATCCAGATGAAGAAAAACCATTCAAACAAATGCATAGAGAATGTTAATCCATCTTCAGCATCTAGACATGTTTGATAGTTCATGTATAAGTCCTGATCCTCAAGAATTAGAAACTAATGAGTTTGTAATTACTCCAAAGAAAAGGTCAACACAAATAAGTGAAAACAGGACTGATGATGCAGAATAGATATCGAATTTGGGGTCTTTCCTATGTGTCACATGAAGCAAAGATCAAACAAATTTACAGAAAAGATTACAGTGCAAAACTGTGAGACGAATTATAACCCATATTTTTGGCATAGGTGAAGATTTCAACATTTCAGAAGCAGTTCTGGACCTTATAACCCATATTTTTGGCAATGCTAATCTAAAACCTTCTCCAAGACCGAGTTCAATTGACCAAATCAAACCTTTCCATGATGCTCTGCCGCTAACAAATCACCAATTAGTGTAGCTAATGCTTCTTAGAGATGTATGAGATTGGTCATCTATGAAGTTACTATCAATCTCTGGGTGAATCCAATCGACTACTCAGAGATCTTAATGACCATAAATTGAATCGGAAAGTGCAAGACTGTTTTAGGGCAACAAGTTTACCGCGCAGAGGATGGATTTCATGACAGCCGCGCAGGCCGCATCGGAGATGTTCATAGACTGAAACTGCTTCCGGAGTGCGGCATCATCGGTCGAGTTGCAGCAGCTGCTACCATCGTAAGCACAGAAGGATAAAGGAGCTTTCAGGGTCGTAGGCGCCACTAAGAAACCAAAGATTCACAACAGAAGAGACCGTCACATGAGTCGAACATCAAATAAAGAAACATTCAGCAATAAAAACAATTGCATGGAAGGGATTGGATGGATGCCCACTTGAATCGGTGCACAGTTGGAGAGCAAGGGAGTGAGGGAGGAGGAAGAGGAAGAGGAGGAGAAGAGGCAGTGAAGCCATCATCACTGGCCCCATCACAGCTCAAGAAGAGCCTGCTTTGACACCTTTGGTGAAGTCCAAGGGAGGAGCAGGAGGAGGAGGTGGTGGTGGAGTGGAGATGGAGGAGGCTTCCATGGGATCTCAACCAGGGTTGACCTGTTCCGAGAACGACACCGACCACATGGCTGTTGAGGACATCTAATAGAACTGAGCATGAAAATTTAAGCCTCGACAGGAGCAGCGGTGGTTGATCGGTGGGAACTGATCTTTCAACCCCAATCAGCCTCAGAACAAGCCATCAAAGTCAACTTCAAAAAAAGTCAGGATATATCCAAAAGTCAAACTCAGGTTCTGCCCTTTGCACACCAGTCAAACAAGTCGTCCGTCTATGATTTATCTTAATCAATACATCCTGATCACCAATGAAACACACTAGTTTTCATGATCATCCACACAGCCTCCACAAATCTCTTGCAAACTGCCTCTGAGACAAAGAAGCTGACGACAATCTCACCTCTTCCGTAATGAGATGGAGTACAAGCGCAAGTCAGCCTGTTCCTACGTTGACTTCTAAAAATGTAGCATTGAACAGTATAATCTTACCGAATCATTCACAAAAGTCAAACATAAAGACGGGTAAATATTCCTATGAAATTCAAAAATAAAAACGTGGATTAATCAATCTGAATAACTCAACAAAGACACGATTATTCCTCGAATACAAGCTTCTCTGATCCGGCAAAATAAGACAAAGCCAGAAATGGAATCATTCTCATTCCTCTCCCAGACTTGGTTCGATGGCTCTTTCTAGCGCTATCTGACAACGAAAGAAGGGCAACAGAACAAGAACAGACGATCGGCTCGGACATCCATCATCGACAAATATTTCATTTATTTATGGCCATATATATATATATATATATATATATATATATATATATATATATATATATATATATATATATATATATATATATATATAT